CCGAAAGTTGGTTATCTACTTTCCCGAAAAGTAGATAGATTTTCTCCTTTTCGGGAAGTAGAGTATTGACTTTTCGGGGAAGTAGATTTTCGAATTTTTGCGGGAAGTATTACCTAATTTTGCGAAGTAGATTATCATAGAAAACGGGAAATTTGTATCATAAAAAACGGGAAATATCTACTTTCCGGGAAAGTTGGTTATCTACCTTCCTGAAAAGTAGACAGATTTTCTACTTTTCGGGAAAGTAGAATGTCGACTTTTCGGGAAGTAGATTTTCGAATTTTGGGGGAAATATTACCTAATTTTGCGAAGTAGATTATCATAGAAAACGGGAAATTTGTATCATAAAAAATGGGAAATATCTACTTTCCGGGAAAGTTGGTTATCTACTTTCCCGAGAAGTAGATAGATTTTCTACTTTTCGGGAAAGTAGATTATCGACTTTTCAGGAAGTAGATTTTCGAATTTTGGGGGAAATATTACCTAATAAGTCCCATTACGGTTGTGTCCAAATTCTAATGGCTAGTTTAGGTAAGATTAGATTGGTGGATATAAGGGCTGGGGCACTCACCAGTACATCTCCCTCACAAAAGCTTATGTCTTGTTTCCTCTACCTTGTCAAGTCACTGGACGTCAAGTTGTGAAGAAGACGCCGACAATATATATCTAAAATAAAAACATATTGTGGACTTCCTTTTGAAATATTGGGCACATCACCCTGCAGATATGAAAAAAGTAGCTAAGAATTACGACAGAACCTGAAACTACCATCTTGCCGATACTGCCAACAAATGTTTTTAATATTAACTTGACATCTAGTCATAGGTTAGGTCTATTACCATAAAAATTTCTAAGTGAAACCTGTGGTCATAACTCAGGTAAACAAAGATGGAAACAACTGATTACTGTATCAGACAACTGTATTCCTGCTTTTCGAAGATTGAACCTGAAATTCGCTTTTTCTAGCAGTCCAGTCAAGTACTGTACACAGTAAAAAAAAATATCGCGCAGGGGGGGGGGGTGTTGTTGACTTCCGTAATGATCCATAATCGCCTGATGTGTTCATATTCAGTTACACCATCAACTATATATATGGCAGGATATGTCGTTAGCAACAGATATGTGAAGACACCCTCAGGCAAAGAAAGCAGGGTTGCCACCATAATAAAGAACCAACACACATATTCAACTATTCCTTGTCCATGGTGTCATATTGTTTCCCACATAATCCGTGCGGTACCTTTTTTACTATGAGTACATATCAATCTGGGGGTCAAGAACAGTAGATTGCCCCCATTAGACAGTTGGGAGCACATCTTACAATCCCATTCCTCCCCATAAAGTATCACTCTTAAGAATCTGCAATCATACCTTCACTCAGCCAGTGCTCACTCATTCAAAGACAATCTACCCTTACTCTCACAATTCCTCTCAAGTTTACCAAATGCATGAAGTCACCGATTAATGAGCGCAACCATATTCCAGTGATGTATTGTGCTATTTTCTTTTCTTGTGTTCATTATTGTATTGTACAAGTCCCTTTATGGTGTACTGCAACACTGTAAATTTCTTGAATGTGTTTAGTAAGTACATAAATAAACATTTAAGTTTGTTTGGTAATTATTTTAGGCCTCCAGACCTTATTTTGTATTGATTTACATGCACATCTATATTTCACAAAACTTCTCAGTCTGTCTCAAAATAATCCATGTATTAAAATATCGAAAAAGTAAAATATTTTTAAACTGACTACCTAAGCACTTAATTATGTTATTAAAACACTGAAAAATTGTGACCACCGACAACTGTACCAAAACAACATCAAGCATGGCAACAGTTGAACTTGAAATTTTTGTCACACAACTAAAAAAGACAAAACAAAAGGCACAGTATAAATTATGATTTGTGAGGAGGTCTTATTCTATTCTTGAGGTAAAAAAAAAAACTGTTCTTTTCTATAGCAACCCTATACAATAACTACAGTAGTTTTGGTGCAACAGAACACTACAGTATTTAACAAAGTATTAGTTTGTCCATATAATTAAGGGGTTACCCGAGGACCATTATACTAGGAGTACTGTAGTCTGGTGCAAAATTGTGCTACTGATGGGTGTTGTTGGGTTGCATGAGGTGACAGGAATACCAAGTTGGATAAGGAACATCTTGTGGAAGAGAACTCCATTGCAGAACACATCTGTTAGAGCAGTTTAAGTGCATAAATGACGTCAACTGAAGGAAGGCTTCGCGTGTGTGCTCTTCACTTCGGCCACCCTGCATCATATGGGAAAAGGCATATTAAAGTGAAAATATAAAATTTAGAAAATACTTTTTACTAATAGAAAGACCTACTTGATACAGACAACTGTCACTGTAGATGATAGAATGACTCCTCTACTTCAATTACACTCCCCGTTCACTACCGGTACTGTACATCAAGTGAACTTCAGTAATACACCGGTGTTTGTAGTTAATTTCTCCAAACATAAATTATTTTTCTGTTCCAAAATGTAGAGTTTTCCAAAAATACAGATGTTGGGTGGGGACAGACTACTACTTGGGAGCAAAGGTGATGAATAGCAACCAGAATTGCCAGAAAGACATGTCAGTGTAAAAAGTGCATCACCAAATTAAACAGATAAAAAACTGGAGCATAAATGACCTTAAAATTTTATCTACCTATCTATTTTTATATTGTCTTTATTCTTATTCCTCCTTCACTCTATGTGTAGGGGGATCAACAGAAATAACAACCTCAAGAAAAAGGGGAATATTAGGAGGAGAGAAGGGCACAAGACTAGTATAAAGAGCATAGGGCAGTACTATAAATACATATACAGTACAGTATATAAATACAAATAAAAAATCAGAAATCCCTAAAGACTAATGAAGAGTCAACACAACTAACCTTGGAGTGAAAAACAATGCTCTAGCTGACATCTTTTACTACCACCTGACCTTACTGAGCAGTGACATCCCTGGGCTGGAGGGAATTAGTGATGACAAGAACCCTTACCATAGTGGCTGGTCAAATGGGGTTCTAGTTTTAATGGGTCACTCTCTTCTACTAGTCCTCAACCTATATACTAACTAGTAATAGGATTGAAGACCCAGCCCTAAAGGTTCCAATCCTAGAGGTTACGTTGGCGTCCTGTATTTCCTACGCAGAAATAACCTCACTTAACTTCGCCCAGCCCAGAGCAATATAATCACACCATGTAGGCCCACACAGAATACACTATACAGTAAATAAAACCTACCCCGAGAAAACAGACGTTCTAATTCTATAAGTAAACAGAAAAAAAAAAATATTCCATTACAAACTGACCCTCTTCTCATGTCCATTTCTGAAAGTACAGTAATAGGGAAGATGCAAATGAAAGACTTGATAGGCTAAAACAAATGAACATATAATTGAAGCAGATTAAAGGGGAAACCTATGATAAACAACAATTACAGTGGTCAAAAGACAAATAATAATAATAATAATAATCTGGGTTCGGAGTCTTAAGAGGTCCATACATCAAATCTTCCTCATAACTGGTGATCTGAGAATGCATCTAACTGGCTCACTGAAGACACGATACAAAGATGGAAGCCTATATGACATCAAAACTGCACTTGACACTTTGAACAAAACCAGAAGCGTCCTCTTGTCTCCAGTTATTAGGATCTAAAGTTTAACACAGAAATCTTCAATGATCTGGATCTTGGGTCACAGCCCATCCAACTCCTATAAAATACTTGACTAAATGAAGTGTGGTGGGTCAATATAGATTCTAAAACAATACAGTACAGGTGTCTAGTTCCATAAATGTACCTTCGTGTAATTCTTTTTATGTCAATTTAATAACAAACTGTCTGCAGTGGTTATCAAAAGCTGAGAATATCGTCTTGATAGTGATTATGTCACCATCTTAAGTATGTTCATCCTAAGCTAAGTATTGTACTTCATTTTAAACTTGGAGATAATATGAAGCTAAGGACATCCCCTACTTTAATTGTGCACATCATCACCTTAAACTGAGTACATCATCATCTTAAGCTGAGTACATCATCATCTTAAGCTGAGTACATCATCCTCTTAAGTCAAGTACAGTCATCTTAAGATGAGTATGGCAGCACCTTAAGCCGAGTATACCCCTGTATAGGCATCTTAAGCTGAGTAAAGATCATCTTATGCTGAAAACATCTTCATTTTAGGATGAGTACAGATCATTCTAAACTGACCCCAAAAAATTATAGTTGCATTTATTCATAAAATGGGACCAAATAATTTTTCTAATTACAACATATGTCTACAAAATGGGAGCAAATATTGAGTACAGTATTGATGACATTAGAGGATGGTACAGTCTCACTCGACCTACCCAAAACTGACTGACTCCTGGCTATTTACTCACTCAACACATGCCCATCAACTGACCGATGCATTACCATTTACTGCTTAACACATGATCATTTACATTTACTGCTAGACACATGACCCTTTACAGCTTAACATAGGACCATCTATTGATTTGACACATGACCATTTACTGCTTGACATATGACCACTTATTGACACATGGCAATTTACTGATTGACATCCAGCTGTTTACTGACTTACTCTGGGCCATTAATTGACTCAACACATGGGGAATTTAAACTGACACATGGATCTATCATCTTAAATACTGCTGCTGCTGCCTGTTTCAAATAAGGAAGACTGGATAAGAGAAGCAACTAGTGAAAAAATTACCTCTAAAAATAACTGACAGAGTGGTATATATATATTTATATATATAAACTGTGTAACAGTCATCATCTGTGGTATATAAACTGTTGACAATCATTGGCATACAAACTGTGACAATCGTCATCTGCTAGGCATGGGCTACACCACACCATCAAGGACTTAGTCTTTTGGGCTGTGAAGGCTAAGTTAACAGTCAGGTAATACATAGAGCCCACACTGTGCTTCATTTAGTATTTCATGTCACTTTGCTGACTGATTGTTTCAACTGACACTGACTGTATATTTCAACAAATTTCCAATACACTATACAGTATAATCTCTTTAGGTAGGAAAACACAAACTGACTGACAAAACAGCTGCACAACAGTGTTCAAGCCGTGGCAGCACAGAAAGAGACAAAACACTTTTCACACTATGTGCACTTTTATCTTCACTAGAGAACAGGCTGGTGCCAGACAATTTTACCATTAAGACAGCCTGAGACTAGAAGGCAGTGCGTGGGGGAGAACTTGGTACTCACAACACAGTTTGAATGACAGTTACTAGTTGACACATCATAGAGAGTCTGAGGGGTGTCTTTGACACATGTGGAGAGTTCTGAGCAGTTCTGATCAAACATCATGAGCCGCACACCATGAGCATAAGGAGAACATATTAACCGTCCATCAGAATTGAAGCAAAGTTCTTTGATAAAGCCTCGACCGACATTTGGTTCTTCGATATAGTGCGTTAAGCGTGGTATATTTTTAGCAATCTTGTGGTTGGGATCAACAGTGCGGTAGTATCGTGGATAGTTTTGTCCGGGACGTAGTAACAAGATTGCCCTGTGATTGCCTGAACCAGTTCTAATGTAAAAAGCATTACGAGAGTCGATAGCATTGCCTGCAGTTCTTTCTGAGCCTGAGTTTTCTCTTGCAGAGTCTCTGTCTCTTCTGTTACGCACACTAAAGGTCATGTTACGGCCGAGGCGCTGTAAGGCTGGTGAGGATCCCTCCCCAGCATTGTTTGCTGAGGAGCCTTCCCCTTCCTCTCTGGTAGATCGCTGCTGCCTCCCTTGTCGAAGTCGCTGCTCCTCCCGACGTTCTCTTATGTGTTCCAGAGCCTCGAACACATCCATCGAAGTAAACCTGAACTGTATATCGATTCCTCCACCTCCTCCCCCTCCTCCATTCCCTCCTACAGCAATGCCTGCACCATCTACGACTCCAACACCGCCATTTCCACTTGAGCTAGCCCCATAAGACCCACCACTCCCCACTCCTCCAGCTCCACTGGCACTTCCTCCTCCCCCCCCACCTGCTTCACCACCTCCCCCCCCTTCACCACCACTATCTCCACCACCCCCACCATCGTCACCTTCATCTCCAGGACTGTGTCTCAACATTATCTCCACTCTAGGGCTGAACCTCAATGACAGGTGAAGGTTTCCACTTCCACCACCTCCTCCTCCATCACCCCCATTACTACTACCACTACTGTTACCACTTCCCCCACTCATCTGTCTGTTCTGAGATGATATTTGCACTTCTGGTTCACTTGTTGATGGAATATCATCATAAGGTTCAATGTCTTCATGTCTATTTTCATCTTCATCTTCATCCTTACAAGCTGTTACTCCTAGTTCCTGGATGTCATGAACACAACTCCACTGAAAAACAGATCATGCATTATAAGATGTACGTATATGACAAGGCTGAGTAGTTTTTTTATACATATCTTTTCATATCTAGGTTAAGGCACCATCATTTGTGACAAAATGGCCATAAAACACTGATGATGATGAGATGATTGTGATGTTCATGTTTAAAATAAACGGTACCACCATTACCAGGTGTATATGTCTAGGTTAAATAGTTTTTGGGTACATTTCTATTCATACCTATGTTAAGGTACCACCTCTATAATTCTGGTACAACATGGAAATTACTGCAGCTGCATTTTGTACTTAATTCTGTATTTGCACTTATTTCTCCCCCCCCCCCAAAGTAAACCATAGGCATATGAATCTTATACTGCTCCTAGGTGTGTTATTACCTTGAAACAACACACAATATGGGTAACTACTGTATACAGAACTAAAATTAGGTAATCAATAGAGGATTTAACTATCCCTGACATAATTATTTGGTCAAACTAAGACAACAGCTACCTAAAGTAAATGATGATGGAAAATGATGATTCTTGAACTTGGTCGTGAATTCATGACCTCAAGTGATGCTTCAACCAAACACCTATACTACCACTTTAGACGAGGATAAATTTTCAATCACTCAATCATCCAACCACAAACCCAGATGGCAGACCCAAATCCTAATGTGTCCATTTTATTTCAGAACTGGCCTATAGAAATGAAAAATGTTAGTACTGTACTTTGCATAAGGACTACAGATATTCCAAGAGCTGCTCCAACGATAAATGAATTAAAAGTAATAAATGTACTCTGCAAGAAAAAGCCGACTCAAAATCGTTGATCTTCACTAATGTTTGGTTAGAAGACTCAAAGAGGATGTGAGGAATCTGATAATCAAAAGGGCTGTGTTGTTTATGTACAGCAAAACATTATAACTAGCAGTACAAAACACAGCAACTACAAGATATGAAATAAATAAAGTGATATCTCCATTAGCCAGAACAATTGGTGCAAAGCACTTCCGGGAATGACAGATTTCCGGGTAACGAGACGACACTCTCAAAGCTGTAAAAAATCTCTCATCCCAGAATTTTCTGGGTAACGGAAAATGTTTCTCAGAAGTTCCAGAAATAACCCATTATCTATACATCTTCTCTCGAAGCCCCAAAAATATCCCAAATCCCCGGAACTTTCCAGGTAATGGAAAAATGTTCTCAGTAGTTTCAGAAATTGCCCATTACGTCATCTCCTGAACCCGGAAAAATATCCCCCATCCCCGGAATTTTCCAGGTGCTGGAAAATTTTTCTCAGAATTTACAGAAAACGCACCTGATTTTCATCTCTCAAACCCGGAAAAAAATTCCCCATCCCCGGAATTTTCCGGGTATCGGGAAAATTTCCTCAGAATTTCCGGGAAAATGTGCCCCTCGGAAAATCGTTCCCAATGCAGGAATTTCTGGAAAATTCCGGCTTTGGGAACGATTTTACAAGAAAATTTCAATTCCGTCTATCGGAGAGTTCCGGGTTTGAGGGATTCCGGCTAACGGAGATATTACTGTACTGTACACATATCTTTGGAGTTCAAGTTTGTTCTTATGTCAAATAAATGAAAATTTTCTTCCCTAGGAACAATTTGAACATGACCAGACATCTACTGAATCAGCTTTGTGTCAGCTGGCAGCAGATATCAAATTGAAATTCATTCATGCAGTATTCTTATTCCATTTACAGCCCTGTACAGTAGAGGGACTGTAAAGCACTATGGAGGCCAATACATGGGTTAAATAAATAAAGGTATTAAAATGCTTTAGAAGGACAGCTGTGTATGATTGTGCAGCAATGGTGTCAAATGTTTAAGATTATACATGAAAATCCACACTATGTCATGAAACACAGCAAATGACAGTTGCCCATATGCTCCGTCAGCAATGGTAGGTCAGCCAAAAGTTTGTTCAGTGAGAAAATGAGAGTCAACCAGTCATCTGTATGCCAGGATTAGCATTCATAGTGCTGGTGCTGTAGCTTAAGGTCTGTTAACACAAACCTAGAAACAAACTGGTCAACCCACCTCTGATGAATCCTCCATTGATGTGTTGCGGGAGAGGACGCACCAGCCTTGAGGGTGAACCTGCAGGGAGTGGATGACTTCCGCTTCATTTAATGGTGGAAAATCTGAGATGAATTCAATTCGATTTCGCTGGGCATAGAAGAGGTGTGTGAACATTGCAGCTTGTGGGAGTGGAGTGTTGGACAGCTGCATCAGGCGGTACATGTTGGGCTGTAAACATTATACATATAGATAAATACACACACACAGACATCAACACAATAAAATAATCAATATCTTACCTATCTCTCTCTAACATAAGCTGAGTTAAACTTCCCAAACCTAACACAATTTAACATAACCTAACTTAAATTCACCCAGCCATAATGTAAAGTCCAAAATACAGTACAAGCAAAAAAAAGAAATTATACAGTATACATGGATATACTGTATATACACAGACTTGTCACGCAATGCCCTTAATAGAGAAAAAAAAACTAAAATTTATGAAGAAAAGATAGTACAGTATTATAACATTTGTAATAAACTATGTCTCAAAATATATCTTTTCAGGGAACACAACATCATACTCCCACTCCCCCTGTGCCACCACCTCTACAACACTCAACAGATCAGATGTTTGTACTGTATGTATCAAATGCACCACAAAACAGGCCAATAGCTATTACATTAACAACAACAATTAACACACTAGAAATTATTGTATTATTTAAAGTTCCAAAAATCCAGAAGCTATTTTACAAAACACAACACCAGATTAGAGAAACAGTTGTATTAATAAAGCAACATAAAAAAGCCATAAATATGAGATTACCGACACTTCTGTAGAAACTCAACGCCAAAACCTTAAAGCCATTATATTAAACACAAAATTTTGGAATACAGAAGTTACTGTTTAATAGAACAACACCCAGAAACAAAAGGAATTCTAATAATAGAAGAGACCATAGCAAATTACAGTACATTATATCAAATACTGTACAAAATAGTAAAGAAGTCATCACCAGTATTAATACAATAACCAACACAACAGATGATATTACAGTACAATACCTAACAGACCTGAGAATATTGTACTAAATAATAATAATAATAATAATGGAAGCCCCTCGATATCGAGGATGGCCGGCCCAAGGGCCTCCTAGGCATGAATTTGTTAAGGTGTAGAAGCTGTCGTCAATACAAAAACCACACCCTGAGTTAACAAGCTGCTGTATGACCCATTGTCAAGGAATAGTCAGAGAAGACTGGACAACTCGTCAACTGCACTGGCTAACCATTACCCTGGAACACGATCCGCAAATCAATTAACATTCAGGTCCCCAATTACTGCTGGGTAGACAGAGGCAAACAGCATAAAGAAACTTGCCCATAGTTTCACCCTGCCGAGGATCGAACTCGGGTCCGCTCGCTTGCGAGGCGAGCATGCTGACCATTACACCACAGGTGTAATACAACACTCAAGGGTCTCAATACTACTGTAATAAATACATGGTGCAACAGTAAAAATCTGAAGGTAATATACTGGAATAACCACAGAAATAAAAGCTGACCTACTCATAAATTCCAGGAACTATGGAGGAAATTTGCTTGTCTGGATATTTTACGGGAAGAGTTACATCAATATTAAAACAGTCGAATTTATTATTTATCAATTCACAGTTCACTTATCTAAATAGTGGCTGTAACCACTGTCATGTGATGTCATAACTTTTGTCACCTCACCTCACACCTGCAGGGTATGAGTGGAGGCAGCCCTTGACAACCTCACCTAACTACCACCCCTGCTCTGTATAATCTGGTGTCAGTGGCAGTAACCCTTATCATGTGAGGTCATAACTCCTGTCACCTCACTTCTACAGCCTCTCAGCTTGGTGGTTCCTTTAAAATGTTGACAACTTGACACTGACTGACTAGAAGCAGTTTGGTGGCTTAATTTAGAGATAAATTACCTGCACCTGACATAGGTCACTAATCCCGATACAGTACGCTGATGACAAGCGGCCCATTGAAAGACTTCCTAGGTTAAACACGTGTTAGGAGTTGGGCTCAGGCAGCACCTGACAAATTCCCGTCTAGGTTTTCCTCTCAATATATTAACTTGTCTGCTGGGCAAGTGTTGGGCACATGGACATGAATAATCACTTGCCCAGCCCCTAGTCTGGGCACACCTGGGTTGCCGTGCAACTGCTAATCTGCACGGCCTGTTACATGTATTCATGGAATAAGCTTCTAATAGAAAATTTTCATTCTCAAATATTGGAATCAAACTCCTAAACTAGCTAGTTCAGCATATCTAGTTTTCAACAAAAAGAAATAAAGATCAACGATTATTATTTATTAGTTTTAAATTTTGCCCCAAATCTGTATCACATACAAGTTTGTTAGCAGCAACTGTACCAGTTAACTTTTGTAAAAAAAAATTATACTTCGGAACAGTAAAAAAATGTCCTTTGAGTGACTACCAGTGACTGTTATCAAAGGTAAATTAATGAGGAAAAACAATCAATTTTATTGGCATTTCAAATTTTAGAAAATTATAAGACACATCACAAGGATTACGTTATTTTCACCGGGTCATTCACAATTAGCAAAATAGGGTAAACTTTGCAAAAATCATTGGTGCAGCTGGTCATAACCTCAGAGGTAAATTTCCATTGCCTACAACTGGCTGATCCTCTTAGTGGCAGTGAACCTGTACACAGATACTTAATAAACAATGGGCTTGGACAAAATATTTGCACACAACTGTACACTAAAAAATATATATTTCTTGGTGGTAGGAACAGATCAGCCATAAAATTCCCTGTTAACAGTGAGAAATTATACCTGTACACTGCATTTGCGTAAAGTCAAACATACGATACATATACTCTACTCCTTAATGTCTTAAGTTCTCCTACAAAAATAATCAGGTTATGCCTCCAATTAAATTTGTCTGGCCCTTCGAGGGTACAGAGTCACTGCCAACTACTCCTTTTTGATAAGGGCCAGGCACCCAAATGATTCTTTAATAAACAAGTACCAAAATATATATAGAACACAGATCCAGATGATGTGAACCTACCTTAAAGTCATGGAGGTCCTGTGAGAGGTGTTCCAGACTGAGGTTGTGGACCAGCACCATGTAGCCCCCTGTAGTACACATCACCAATTTACTACAGTCTGGGCTCAGTCTCATTCTCATCAGCCCCTGCATTTTGAACAGCTCCGTCGACAGCAAACCTTCTTCTGTGTACCTATGAGGCAATGCATTCATTTTTAAATTCAAACACACTGGATATGACATTTTTCCCAGCCAGTAAAACTGGTAATAACTGTAACATTATTTGGGCTAACAAGACAACCAAAAAACACAAACAAAAACGTGACATAATACAATTTACAACCAACACTATGCCGAGTCTATGGAATGTAATTATTACTGAGCAAAAATCAAATCTAACATTCAGATAACATAACCATTATATCCCTCAGAGCAGAGTAGATCTTCCAGCCAGTTTGCTGACCCTTTAAGCTTATGACCTTCAAAAACCACACACGAGACATCATTCAATACTTAAGGTATGCAAACCAAGTTTCCAGTTTGTCTTCAAAATTGTAATACTTGGGGTATTCAGGAGTGAACACACTTTTTGGGTTAATGTTGGAATTTTTGGAGATTTGTTTGTGATCTGTTTTTGTGTGAAGATGCAACACTAATGGTGTGATTCTAACTTAACCTGTTCCAAGGCCTTACTTAATACTCCAGGACACCCTACACACCTAAATGTCCTGCACCCTAATGTTCGAGTCATGGTGGCACCCAACACACCTTTCTCAATTCAACCAATAGGTAAGAATGATAACATCATTTGCATTTTAATATAAAGAATGTAAATCATGTAGAGATGAGATAAAACATATGTACAGTATAAACAGACAAAAGTAATATACTGTACAGTATAAAGTGTCCCTAATGATCATCACTAGTGTAAAGAAAGATAATGAAGGAGGATACAGGGTTAACACATTTATAATAATATATTGGCAGATTAAACCAACCAACTAAACTTGAACCATCTTAACTAAAAAAAATTCCACCCTTAGGTTAGGTAGATTAGGTTTGGTTGGTTTTGCCTGTGATCATTAATGGTATTATCAAAAAATTCTTGGCAGACAATGAAAGGTCAACTATTGTATCACCAGCTTTAGAAAATAATTAATTTAATTAATTCCATAACTAATGTGTATCAACTTGAATTTGTGTCTGTTAATTTCAACCATCAACCCAAAGTCTTGTGCATATTGACCCACCACGCTACTTACCCATTAATATCCCATCCGAGGATTTTTCCGTCAAAGCCTGAAGTGACCAGGATGCCGTCAGCAGCAGAGTACTCGATATTCTTAACCCAATTGGTGTGGCCCTGGAGGAGACGGATGCGCCTCTTGAGGTTGCGAACGTCCCACAGTGCAACCGTGTGATCATCACTGCATGAAGCAAAAACACGAGAGTCTAGGAACCTGAAATGAAAATGAGCATGTCACTTCAGTAATGACAAAATGGCAAAAATACTTTACACATATTTACATCTCCTACTGATGTTCTCCAACCTGTATCTTCTTATTATCCTTCATAATCTTGCCAAGTATGTAGAAACCTCCAGAAATTGCCCTGTACTGAAAGGTAAAAAATATTGAATTGACATTACTTATCCTTTCCAAGTTGACCTGGCCCGTAAGCCACACCCCCCATCTATAGCCACAAGTAGCTAATTGGTTCCCTTGAGCGTTTTACCTCTCCCCCCGGACTGGGCATATATACTGTAACCACATATTTATATTGACCTTTTATGATATATATTTAAAATTTTCTAACATCCTCTCTGAAGTGCTAATGCCTTGAAATCATTTGCATTTTGATAGTACATATAATTAACATTATTTTAGATAATAACAGGTCTGTTTATCAATTGCACACACATTTAGTTTGAATTTTCTAGGAACAAATCAGCTATTGGTATAGAAGAGGGGCATGACTTACGGGCCAGGTTTGTGTGGAAATACTATAGTACAGTACTGAATATGGGTGTGAAGCATAGACTGTAGAAGCACGAGGAAGGAGTAAAGTAGATATGACAAGCTGAAAATAATGTGTGCAGCAAAGAGGTTGTACTGGGGTGATAAGGACACAAGGAAAGAATGTGAAATAAATGATTGGTAAAAAAGTGAATAATTTAGAGATAGATGACAAGAGGAGAGAGAGAAGAGAGTACCAAGGAGATGGAAAGATGAGGTGAAATATGCACGAATGAGAGGGGGACGGAAGAGGACAAGTGTATCAATGACCAAAGACACAAGTGCTGAGTGATCATATGAGGTGGAGTTGAAGCTGAGGTATGTTACTGAGACTGTGTGAAATAGCAGAAGTAGACCAGGTAGATAATTGGGGCCTTGGTGTGTTAGGGGAGTAAAATACCTTGACAGACAATATCGATTACAGCAATGAGAATAAAGAGAGAACGTAGACTTTGTGTGTATGTGTTTGCTCCTGTTTGAAGGTCTCAGCAGCCCTATATTACAGTGCTAATAGGAAAAGACTTGAATGAACACGAAATATATATTTTTTTTCCCACTTCAAAAAAGTATAAGAACTCATACACTCGGTAAAATATACTCACTTGATGCAATTTACACAATTATCATGTGCATGTGGTATGTGATGAATCTGACGTCTTGACAGTGGGTCAAACACCATGACTGCACGCTGTTCACACGCAGCAACCAGGTGACTCCTGCAACCAAAATGGTGGGAAATAAAATCTAATTTCGGGAAAGATCTCCTTTTTTTCTGATAACCATCCGAATACAGTACGAGTCAAAACAATGACCCCTCCCCACCCCCCCCCCAAAAAAAAAATTAAGTTCCAGCTGCTATGTCTGTACCGGGTAATTTAGGGATGCACTGAATAGAGATGTCAGATTTGTCAGATAGTTTTAAAAAATCCAGCCCAAATTATCCTCTTAGATAATTTAGTTTCTGTTGATTTTTATATAATTAGGATAAGCTAATTGTAAGCCGACACCTTCACTCCTGCAGTACAGTACAGTAATCTAATACCTCATGTAGTTCACAATAAACATCATTAACATCACCTCCTCAATCAACATCTTTAAATGTTAGATTCTGCAGCAGCCACATGTGTTACCTGTTTGACTTCACTCACTCTGTCCCTCCATAACTTACCCTTATTATCCAAATGTTTGGTATCCAAAAAATTGCTTCCCTGACAATTTTATCCTTACACCTCTTTTTTCACTATCTGAAAGCAATCCTCACTTAACTGAAAGATGATCTGATTGAAGATTCAAATCACCCCCAGTGGTGAGCCCTGACCACCCTCTGATTAGGTAATGTACCAAATGGACTTACCGGTAATATTTTTAGCTTAGCATTTACAGTAGCTACAGTACAAGGTAGTTATGTAATAAATTACAGTACAGTAATTACTGTAGGTACCCGGTATTGAACTAAATTACAATAAAGTACTGTACAGTAATCTCTCCATTAGTCAGAATCTTCAATCCCCAGAACTGTATGCTGTACAGTATTACCCAGATTTTTTTTTTGAGCATTCTGGGAAAAATCTTTCCATTTTGGGTAATCAAACAAATTTCCAAGATATTGCATCAGCGCTTTTCAAGAAATTTTCAAGAAAATCTCTCCATTCAGAGCATTCGAATGAATTTCTAAGAGATTGCATAATGTTTCCGACATGGAGACGTGTGCCGAGGACATGGCTGGGTAGACTCAAGAGTACATATGAGCTAAGATTAGTTACTATCATCATGTGACTGCAATGTATGCCTATGATTGGCTGATGTATCTCACAGCCTATCTCCTCAAACTCTAGCATCATGACACTTTTAGTTTACACAGATTGCATATGATCTGTGTTGTGCAGTACAGTATATTACTGTACCAGCATATAATCAGCCAAGAACACCATTAAAGCATTGTTTAGATGTATAAAGTGATTACAGTTATGTATACTGTACTGCACATTCAGTGTGAAAGTACCGTATGTAGCTACAGTACTGTATACAGTATAGCAAAGTGGACAGTGTATGCCTACTGTGGGCTAGTGTGTACAGGGTGTATGTACAGTATGCATACAATGTGAGTACAATCCCTCCTTCATGGAGGGAGAGGAGAGTGATTTAGCAACATCTATGACAGGAGATGGTACAGGACAAAGCTAGGTCATCCATAGTATATTATCATATCACCATTCTGACCTGCCTACATCACCAACTCTAGATGACAGTATATGCTGGTGAGTACAGTACAGTATGTACAATACAGTAAAGTGTATACAGTACAGGGTAGTACATTTTGTTTATTTACAATATATTATGCATGTACAATAGTCTTTGCATAAATAAATACAGCTCTGAGTCTGTCTGACTGCAGTCTGATGTAGAAACATTCACCAGTGGCCGGAAAAATTCCGGGGATGGGAAAATTTGTCTCAGTACCCACAAATCTCTCAAATCCAGAACCGCTTTGCACCAATTATTCTAGCTAACAGGGAGATTACTGTAGTTAGGTAGGTTTTTTATTAGTATTCATGAAGAAATTTAATTATCTTTACGTACATTATATTAATAGGGTTGTCTTGTCATTTGCAACTTAACCCCATTTTCCCATTTATTTATTATGTTCATTTTCCCCATTTATTGTTATTTGGTATCCGAAAATTCAATATCTGAATGGTTTTCAAGGAATCTAACCCATTTAGATAATCAGGAATACCTGTACTTTATTAATTCCCGACTAAAAACAAATATTTTAGTATAGTCATGACAACTGCATTGTTTAGCTGAACTAGAACATACACTAATAGAGATAGCAGTGTCAGTCATGGTTGCCAATTGCTTCAACAACCATAAGATTGTAGTGACTTCTATTTCACCTAAACACCTCTAAAAGTTCTTAAGCAATGGTCTGGCTTAGTTACAACATTTTCAAAGGACTGTGACCAGAGTATCTAGCAACAAACTTTGTAAGATTTAGGGATATGAACCGGCAGGGAACTAAAAGGAGTAAACATAATTTTATGGTACAGGGTACCTGGTGTCTGCAGTCAAGACCACACCAAAACCAGTTATGGGATTAAACAATTCAAAGCTAAAACTAAATAATACATAACTGATGAAATTAAAGAAAGAGAAGAGAGTGAGTTACTATATTTCAGTACTGTACTGTATATTATTAGCCACAGAATGTTGTGACCCGCCAGCCTTTGAAAGTTCAAGCACAATGTAATGCTCATTGAATTTCTCAAAAAACTTCCACTATTTCTCCTGTAGACATAGAGAAGAATGTAATGTGGCAGTAACTGTTAACACAGCAAAATACTATAAAAATAAGATAAATTAAAACTGGCCAAGGCAAAAATTTACAATAACTATTCTGAAATTTTTGACAGTGTCACATCACACATGAATGAAGAGGTACTAAGCAACTTTTATTCAATACAAAATTTGTAGACCACAAACCACAGCTTAGCCATGATACTATGTATAATAAGGCGGCACCTTTATTGAGATTTACTATATGTGACTGTCAGGAAAAATAAGATAGCTCCCCTGTATTTCACTCATATATATATATATATATATATATATATATATATATATATATATATATATATATATATATATATATATATATATATATATATATATATATATATATATATATATATATATATATATATATATATATATATATATATGCAGTATTCTGTTAATAACACTTTCCTAGATACTGTTGATACGAAAAATGATTGAGGCATTGTGACAAATCAGTCATTAAAGGTGGTGCAACAAGTGGGAGCAGCAGTGACAAAAACAAATCAAGATTTTGGAATTATAAAGCGTATCTTCAAATTCAAGAACAGGAAAATGCCCCTTCAACTGTATAAATCTCATATGCACCCTAGTTTGGATTACTGTATACAAGCACGGTAACCTTACCTCCAGACAGACCGAACATTACAGTAAAAGTCCAAAAATCGGGATGCCAAAAATACGGACTTTTCGAAAACTCAAACTTTTTTTTTTGCGGGCTTTTGTGTGTGCGCGCATGCGTGAGTGCCACAGCTGCACAGCGACAACAAGCGACCACGCGGTCGCCACTTTAAAACAAGCAATCAAACTGTGACAACATACAGTATGTAATTTTGAGTCCTACCCTTTTCATTTACAGAGTACTGTACAAGTCCATAATAATGGCTCCTAAAGTAGATAAACTTCGTTGTGTGAAGAGAAAGAAGAACACGTTGAAATTGAGTGACAAACTTGAAGTAATTAAGAAAATAGAACGTGGTGTGAGCAATCCTGTTCTAATGGAAACATACGACATTGGAAAGTCTACAATTTATGATATAAAAAAGGCAAAGAATAAAATTCTAGAATTCACAGCTTTTTCTTTAAAACTGCTCGTTTTGATAAATGGAGCATGCTATATTTGCTAATGAATAAATTATCAAAATGTACCTGTTCATCTCTTCTTTATTCCTCCTTAAATTTGAATTTTAAAAGTACTGCCTGAGAATCTGGAAAATCAGAAAATCCGGACTGACCCAATCCCCAAGCAGTCAGGATTTTTGGACTTCTACTGTATTCTGAAACTTTGTCATCTCAATTATCCAAGTACTGTACTAGACTGAGGGCCTTAGGACTAACAACCTTTCAGACAGGGCAATATATGGCAGATTTTATGAAACATTAAAAATCTTAAAATGGATGGAAAATATGAACCTGGGCTACGGTATTTCTTTGTGATGTCACGCACCACCAACACGAGGGGACATAACTACAAGCTCACCAAGTTATCATGCAGAATGAACATAAGGAAATAGTTAATTCTTCATACAGGGTGGTAGACCAATAGAACAGTCTACCAGCTCAAGTTGTGGAATCGAGAACAGTACAGGGCTTCAAAATAGCCCTAGACAAAATTATCAAGAACAATAGATGGATTCTATACAGGCCACTGGCCTCCTTCCCTCGGCAGGGCCACCTCGAGTTGGTGGTCATGAGATAAATAGGGTAAAACAATGAAAGAATAATTGGAATACTGTACAGTACTGTACTGTAAAGTCCATGGTATTGTTTTGCAGTAAATTAACAATTCTGCTCTATACTTTTGGTAATTAATCATCCTTTTTATGTTTTCAATACCAAAAACATTCTTTGTTGAGACAACTACATAGTAGTGTGTCCACAGTGTTATTGTACAGAGGCAAGGTCAATTTGTAGTAGTGCACTGTTCTTTCTTTGAGTATTAGAAATATGTGTATAAAAAACATAGAAAATCACCAAAAACCATCCAAACCTAACCAAACTTAACCTAACCTAATCACGGGGGTCGGGGCAGAGTCCATTCCTGATTAGGTTAGGTTAGATAGATTGGTGCACTAATATAAAAAAAAACCAGAGGCAGCTACGTTCAACATTTGCATTTAATTCTAAGTCCAAAAGTCCTGCTTCTGGGCATAAATGAGGGGGGCATATAAATTGGGTTTGGCTAGGTTAAATTCTGAAATATAAATATAGTATAGGTACCGGTACCTAACAAAACAAAAATATAGATATCGTAACAGACAGAAACTGATGGTTAGGTTAAGTTGTTGTAAATTTTCTCAAAAGCAGACTTTAAAAAATCCAACAATGGCTTTATTCTACTAATTGTCTGCTTTCCAAAAAGCCTTAATTCTATTCCTTGTTCATTCCGTTCAAAGTATCTTGAAAAATTCACCCATCACTAAATTAAACAATAATGGAGGAAATTCTTTTCTCCAATAGTTAACAACAGCCAGAAGTCTTTTAACTTTGCTGTAGACCAAAAACTTTTTAAGAGATACTAACGAATGCTAACAAAATTTGCTAACATACAGTAATAAGAATTCAGAGCTTAATTCCTGCTAAATTCAAAATTCAAAATCGTTCTTTATCAAATCATCAGTGTCCATAGGTCATAGCCTACTTAAAACTGTGGCTCAAACATAGTACTAAATCTGGCATATAAAAAGAGTGTACATGTATATGCTAAGTCAGTAAGGTAAGATATGGTTGATTCTCTTCATTCAAACACACATTTCCCTTGGTGATTCATGGATCTCTCCAAACAGGTTGTTTTTAAGACTGTTGGGGAAATATTGAAATGTCTCATCTGTCAGCCACCTGATTATGTATAACATAATACTGTACAAATATCAGCACAGGGGTATTCCATCAAATATTTATGTTTACATTCACAGTAAAGTACTAAAGGTTGGTCCGATTTTCTTCATATTTACTGTTGTAGTCACCCATCATTACGAGAGTGTCATGCATTAGACATTCACCCAGACATGTACTCAAAGACATAAATATATACAGTACTGCTCCATCACTCACCCGTCAGGGGAAAACTCAAGATTGAAGACGCCACCATGGCCAACAAAGCCAGTCTTGGGGTCACTCTCACAGGGGTCCCATGAGGTGCAGGGGATCATTGAGGAGTAGAGTGATCGCCTTATGCCAGACTCCCAGCCTAGGGTGGCCCTCAGACCAGCCTCCCTCCGCCTCAGCTCATAGTCAGGGAAGCAGCTGCCGTACATCCTTCCTGTCTTGACTTTTGGCATCTTGATGGTGACTTGGAGGTTTTCTGAGTTTCAGGATACCATTTGCTGCACCACAGTGTCAGAAAATAAATATTTGAAGCCAAAAATAACACTTATAAATATATATAATATAGACTAGAGTAATAGATTTAACACCTTCAACTTCTATATGTTCTTTCTGACATAATTCAAGGTTAGTTGTGAAGTTTTTACTGCCTCAGGTGAGTTTTCTGCCCTGGAGTTTTAGAATATCTGTATTTAGTACCTAACACAAAGGTCAGAGGAGAAGATACAGACTTAATGAGTTTAACATTACCTTCAGTTCTCTATGTTCTTCCCGACATAATTTTCGGTATTTCTGGAGTTTTCATTTCCTCAGGTATACATTTTCTGCACTATTGTCAAGAAATAAGTCTTAAGAAGCAAATATAAGACTTAACTGAGAAATATTTACACAAAATCACCAAAACAATTCATTCAACTTCCGTACGTCCTTCTCACCTTAATTTCTGTCATTTCTGGGGTTAAGTTGGGTTTTCACCTCCTCAGGTCTGCACTTTCTGCTCAAAAATTTCGTTAAATTAAGTAACTAAGGCCAAAATAAGGCTTCAACAATAAGAATTTACACCAGATGAGTGGGACGACACCTTAACTTCCGCACATTGTTTCAAATATTATTTTCACCACTTTGAGACTATATATCGTCTTAGATCAGCATTTTTCTACTCAAATATGTCGCAAAATATATCTCTGTGTTCGAAAATGTGTCGAAATAGTCCTGAAGTAGGCTGAGACTACAAGAGTTTACACCAGATGAGCGGGGGACGACACCTGCAACTTGAGTACATCCTTGTCGAATTAATTTCCGTCATTTCCGAGTCATTGAAGAGCCCTTATATTATCAGCTACACATTTTCTGCTCTAAGGTGTTGTAAAATGGGTGTAATATGTTCCAGAATGAGGTAGAGAATCACAATTTGGGGCAGCTGAGTAGACACCACCTTCAACTTTTCTCTGCCAACAAAAACTTTCCAGGCGCAACCCAAACAAAGATTTCTCACAACACTACTGAACACTCTTATCTTCCTTTGACAGTTTTACCTTTTCTACACCTTTTATTACGATTTTTAGATTTATTTTTCATTCCATTCTTATTATTTTACGTTCTTCCTTTGTTATTTACATAAATATTGAATAGATTTCCCATAATAAAGGATAAATACCGCGAAATTTAAAAATCCTATTTACAATTATACTTTTTTTATCTCCTTCCTAATTTAAACAAAGTATTTCGGGCATTTTATTAGTTTTACTTGAATAATTATATGAATTTATTAACCATTTATATATGTAATTAGATTTCATATAATACATGATAAATACCGCGAAATTTAAAACTACTGCTTACCGGCATGTTTCGAGATAATTTCATCTACTGTCATACTCAGACATTCACATTCTAAAGTAATTTTTTAATCCTAGTTTACTTACAGCAATTCAAACCAAGTCTTATATATTTACATGACTGTAAGATAGATCATCCAATCTCATCCAATTTCTTGCTAAAATAAGAATAATTTTAAGTAATATCTTTATTTTATTATAATATTTGCAATATACAGTATCATTGTTATAGATTTACATAATAGTAACATTGTTGTCCCGTAATGGAAAACAGATTAAGAAATTCAATTCGTATCTAGTCTTGATTTTTAATTGTTGATAACTAGTGTGTACTAAACGAGAATGACCGGTTAAAGACACAATATTTGATATACCTATATATGTGTTATTATAGCCTAGTCTAACCTAATCCTAAACAAGTCTAACTTAAGAAATCCTAACTTCACAAAAAGAAGCCTATCTAACTTAACCTTGTTTAACCTAAAAGTCAAGCCTGACCTAAACTAACCATGCTTACCTAAGTTAACCTAACCTAACATAATCTAATCTAACTTAATGTAATCCAATCTAATCAAGCCAAAGGAAGATTTCAGGTGTTGGTGGTACAGCGGTAACGTGCATAAGTCTCACCAATATGTCAAGGGTTGCAAAGCGCTTAAATTCCAGATAGGATTTTAATCTTTCTTGTAGTTGATGATAAAGGAGAAAAAAATGTGTTACCAGCATAATCTTAGGGGTTACTCATAGTTTTCCTACTGCTCAGTAATGGGGAAAGAAGACCCTTGTACTGAGACCTTTAGTCGATAAAAGAAGGCTACAGAATTGATGAATGAACTCGCCTCCAATGTTCTCTATGTCGCAGTAAGAAACAGTTTTAGGGCAAACAGCCAAGGAACATCCTCCAGCTGGCCGTGCTCTATTGTTTGAACAACACGTAAGGCTCAACATACAGCCAGCACACACACAAGCGCTTGAAACCTCTTTGTTATACCAGATGGGTAGAACGTCATTACAATTTTATTCCATGATATGCTACCAGCCATTATATTTAGTTTGCAGGGAAACAGACAATGAAGATGCAATCGCAAAAGCAGCATGCTTACTCACTGCCCTCACTAAATTAATTTTATTGTTGCCCTCGAATCTTGTATATTGGTGTTTGGTATTACTCTCCCTCTATCTATCAACTTCAGAAGCCCGATATGTACCTAATGGCTGCAATGGAAATGGTTTCATCTGCCAATAAAACTATTGGCAACTACAGAGATACTTTCAACACCATGGCATTAAACTTGACTGAAGAACTGGGTGTTGAACCAAGTATTTTAAGGGTTGTAGGCGGACAAACAAAGAGACCAAACACCCCTGCCGACTCTTATAAGTGTGATTATTATCGTCGTAATCTTATCCTTCCATTTCTTGATTATTTGAAGTCGGAGCTGGTAAGACACCTTACTCCTCATCCGTCATCCGGGTATCCAACTTCATCATCTCTTGTGCCTAGCAGCAGTATTAAGAGATACTCAGTGTTGCTAAAACCTATGAATTTAATTTGGTGTGGCGTGAGCGAAGGAGCAATTGTGTCACTTGCTTAATGTGCTCAATGCATAACTAGCTGTGAGGCTACCCTTAATGTGAAAAAAAACATAGGAAAAGAACGATTGGATGGTTTGATCGTATTAAGGGCTCCATTGTTATTTTTTTATTACCGTTAAACATTGGAAAATAAAATATAAAAATGGCGATCAAATTACACCGAGACTACATAAATTAAATACGTGCAATTAACACCAAAAATAAAATCATATATATGTTCTTCCGATAAAAACCCTGTATTTTTTTCCTCGTAATTTAAGATGAGAGAAAGTATATAGTTAAGGTACAGTATTAGTGTATTTATGAGTGAGATATGACAAGTGAGGGGGTGTAAGGAAAGGTGTGGGAAGGTAGGGTACAAGGAGAAGTGTGTGGGGGTGAGGTGTGAGGTGAGAGAAGTGAGGGGTGTGTGGTGTGATCGTCATAATCTTAACACAATAAGAAAATGTGGCATATTGTGTCCTTCCGTCATCTTCCCACCTACCTCCCTCTTTTCCTCTCTACTCCATCCCTACCTACCTCCCTCCGCCTCACCCTCCTTCCCTCCCCCTCATTCCCATCCTCCTTCCTTCTAGAGACAACAGAGTGATCGACTAGTTTAAGTAAGATTGGCCGCAAGGTTCCTGGCATCTTAAGGGCCTTCTGAGTATGTAGTGAGCCAAACGGGCCCCAGAGTTAAATACCCCGACCCTAATGAGCCTCACTCTGACCAACTATTAGGACTAAGGGCCCATTACGATTAGGATGGGACTCTAATCTTAATTGTTAGGTTGGGTTGGGGGCCTATTAAAGATGGGGCCCACTAACACTGGGGCCTATCTGAACCTTGGCTTCATATTTTGAAGGTTTCTAGTATATAAATTTTCCTTAAACTTAAATGTGTACATTTGAGATATATATAAGTGTGCAGTACATATTTGCAAATTAAACCAATGAACTGGAAAAAACCCATGTTTTTTTTAACAACTACGAATGATGCAATTGTGTGATTTTTACGAAATGTTTCCCAGCAAAAACGAACTCATTATTTATTTATTACACAATAGGTAGACGATCACTGGGGCAAAGGAAGTACAGATGACACTGAATCATCGTAGAAAGGCGTTGAATGGTGAGTGATAGATGGCTTAATATGTTATTATCGATGAGAAGTACTTCAAGACCCGCGCTCTCTATAATCGACTGGCCTTCGTCGTCATGGTAACTCATAAACACGTGTAAACAATAACACATGGAATAAGATGGCGAAAGGGAGGGAGGATGAGAAGTAGAAGAAACAAGAGAGAAAGAGAGAGAGAGAGAGAGAGAGAGAGAGAGAGAGAGAGAGAGAGAGAGAGAGAGTAAGAAGAGAAAGGAAAACTAGAAGAGACGAAGAATAGGAAGTAAATAGTGAGAGAAGGGAGGAAAGAGAATAATAGAGAAAATATTTATAGAAAGAGAGCAAGAGAATTAGACAGGGGAAGCAAGAAAGCAGTCAAAGAAGACACGTGGAGAGAGAGAGAGAGAGAGAGAGAGAGAGAGAGAGAGAGAGAGAGTTAAGAATAGGTATAAATAAAGATATATTGAAATCCAAAAGACGAGGAAAAGAATAAAAACAATACAATAAGTTATGTATGGAGGACTTGTTGGGAAAAAAATATATCAGTCAAGCGAGGCGGGTGTCATGGGTTAAACGAGGAAGTGTCCTAAGTTAAGTGTGAGTGTCATGGGTTAAGCGAGAGGATGTCATGGGTTAAGCGAGGGGATGTCATGGGTTAAGCGAGAGGATGTCATGGGTTAAGTGTGGATGTCATGGGTTAAGCAAAAGGATGTCATGGGTTAAGCAAAAGGATGTCATGGGTTAAGCGATAGGATGTCATGGGTTAAGCGAGAGGATGTCATGGGTTAAGGGCGGAGGTAACATGGCGCCAATCACCCTCTAGTCTAGAGTTTAAAGCGTCATTATTGATTACATTCATCAATATACATTTTATCTAAGCAAATAATGACCTGACGATGGTATAATAATAATAATAATAATAATAATAATAATAATAATAATAATAATAATAATAATAATAATAATAACCTAACCTAACATCGCTTAACATAATGTATCCCTAACCTAACCTAACCTAACCCAATGTTTACTCAAATGCTGTGACTGGGTAATTCGTCAATGTAACAAGCCGTTCATAACTGTTGTAACAATGTTTTTTTGGGGGGGTGGGCGCTGTAACAAGTAGTTGGTAGCCGCTGTAACAAATACTAAAAACAAGACGTAACGACCAGAAACATAGTGTGCTCAGGTGATTGACGCTAACCACTGTACAAACAATTACAGTAATGATGTGGTATCGATCACCCCGAACACCTTGTTACCGGCCGCGTCTATACCTCTCAAGAACCGCCTTTAATATTTTAGTGGCGCGTTTGAGAGATGGCATAGAACGATGACCACTAACCTAACGCCAATCACCAGCACTTGTCGGCACCTGTGGTTCATATATGACGCTTGTAGAGCACTTGTCGGCATTTGTGGTTCATACGTAGCATTTGTATAACACGTGTGGCTCTTCTGAGACACCTATATAGCACATTTTGTTCAACTGGAGCATTTGTATAGCACTTGTGGTTCAACTGTGACACGTGAAAAACATCTAAGAGGCATTAGAATAGTGAAACTGGTTCCCATAGGCTTGGCGGCCCAACCAGGCGAGTGTGGATACAACTGCACACTGTAAACTATTTTCGATGCACAAGGAGACAGCGTCACCGGCACTACACTTGACCTCTTTCACTTCCCCAAATGTAAAGTTAGGTACCCCTTGACAGCTGGATGTATTTAGGGTCCCCACCCCCCCCAACGCGAATGAACAGGGACTATAGGCTGTCGATATGAAAGAGAAAAAAGAGAGATAGAGGAGAGAGAAAGTGAGTTGGCATTGTCGATTTATTTCACAAGCAAAAAAGCAAAACAAAATAAAAAAACAATATTCACTTCTTTACCAATGCATTTGATCTCCTGCCCAAGTTGAGTGTATCGGTCCGTTAGTTTATTGAGTGCATTTAGTTACATTGTATACTAAATGCTCCCAATAGTCTATTCATTATTATTATTATTATTATGTCATCTACAAGCGTCGTAAAATATAACCTAATTATTTATTTATCTATTAATTTTACCTTGGGAAGTAGGCCAAGATAGTTATGTATGGGCAATAAATTTACTGAAAGACAGATATAATTAAATAAAGAAATAGACAGAAACACAAATACAGCATATGGATAGATCGAACAAGACTTTGAGGAGAGGATATGAGTATAGTAATGAAATCCCTCACCTGTCCTGGCCAATAGTGAAGTAAGACAGCAATAACGTCACTGCACTTCGGCGACGTCATAATACAGTACTGTAGATAGGCGTCGTAGCGGTGACGTCACGAAGTCCGCAACCTAGCAGCAGCATCGAGTCAAGACAGAGAAGACATTGCAGTATTACCCAACCAACACTCGAACCAGTTGGACGTTCCCGGCGCAACATACTGTAGATCACCACAGAATTTAGTGATTTTTATTGTTGTCGTAGTGATGATAGTTTGAGAATTATTTGGAAATAATTTATTATCGGTACACAATTAACGAAGATGTTGTACGTAGATATTAAATGATAAAGACAATGTATTTTAGTAGAAGGTTGGAGGCATAAGTTGATTCAACACATCATTGTAACCTGTTGGTGAGTGTTGATGGTAAAAAAGGAGAAGTGTGTAAACCTTGAGGAAGTTCTGAAAGTAGTAATGAGCAAGAAAAGTCTCATTGGGTGGTTCTGTAGATCTAAGACGAAGTGTTCACACAAGATGCAACATTTAACAGTTTCAGAGGTTCAACGATGGCACATTGTTGTTGAAACTTGTGTTTATGTGTGTGTGGAAATTTAAGTGTATTTGTGATTTTCAAACGTTGTTATTCCAGTTCTGAACCCCTGAACTAAAATATTATAAGAAATTCGCTGTTGGGTGATACGTCTTTCCAACACGTCTTCGTTACAACAGTATCGCGCCACTTTTGAATCCTGAAATGACTTCTTAATATACTGTGGCACAGTGGCAGTTGTCAGTACCGTATAATTTCATGGGGAAAGACTCTCGAAGCTTATGATGCTCTAGTACAACCTATATATATTTATTTTCATCACTGAAACCCCCACAATTTATGTGAAATTTACAGCCGTGTTTCATTAGTGGGAGTTAGAAGTATTATTCTTGACACCACAAGGTTGAACACCACAGTCAATATCTTGTTTTATGTAGGGTTTCTTTATCCTTTCCAAACTTCCATTGTCAACATTAGTCAAGATTTCTGATCACATCATTACTAGTCTAGACCCATCGTGACCATAACGCCATCAAACCCTGGGGCAGACTTCTCATCCATCACCGTATAAGACATATGAATGTCTCAAGTTCTGAAGATGAATCACCCGATTATGGGGATTAAAATTTTTATTATTATATTAGTGAAACTTAAATGTGAAATACACCATCAGGTACTCAGGCGGGGCTTCGTTGGTGTTTCAAGATGGCAGTGATGATAGCATGTTGCTGTTGCTTCTCCACCAAGACGGGCTCCATCGCTGTGGGCGTCATCTGCCTCGTGAGTTGAACATGCACGTATGATAGTTACTGGACACGAGAGAACGTCTGGACGTGAGTAAGGTTGTTTATGGCCATTACAATATTTAACCTTACTCACGTCCAAGCGCTCGTGTGTATGAGGGTTTGTTAAATAAAGACCCACTTTTTTGCACCACTAACCATTGATATCAGCGCTGCCACCATCACTACCATCACATGATCTTCAACATCACCAGCAGTACGGCCAGTACCTTAACTTTCACAACCACTACTGTCACCATTACCACCACTATTGTCATCATTACCACCACTATTGTCACCATTACCACCTCCGCTACCGTTGCTTCAGGCGGTGGCCTTCTGTGCGTCTGTGGGGTTCTGCTTCGCGCTGCTGAACGCTGAAGACGTCAACAACAGACTCGCCTCTATGTACCACAGCTATGAGGTCGCCCTTGATGCTAACATGACCGAACCAAGACTCCAACTGGTCGAATCCCTCATCGGGGTTCAGGCCATCATTGATAGTAAGCGACTCGTTAGTTTTTTTTATATTTCTTTTGTTGTGTTGTCAACGTGGTTCAAGAAATTGCCAATAATAATAATAATAATAATAATAATAATAATAATAATAATAATAATAATAATACTAATAATAATACTAATACTATCACCACCGCTGTTGTTCATACTAATACTTAAAATGATACAGAACTAGTAATACTGTACAAGCTAAGCAATAATAATAATAATAATAATAATAATAATAATAATAATAATAATATTCTGCTCCTTCAGACATGAAGACAGTATTCATCGTTGGTTTAGTCTTCTATGCTATCTACACTTTCGCTTCTCTCTTCCTGACCTACGGCTCCTGCACGGTGAGGACCAAGCCTAGCCTAGCCTTGCTTAACTTACTCTGACCTAGCCCAATGTACTCTGACCTAGCCTAACTTGAATTAATCCAACCTGGCCAAGCTTAGTCTATCGCCTAACTTAACTAAACCTAATCTGACAGCCTTGCCTCTAAACTAATCTGACTCAGCCCAACTTAACTAACCTGGTCTAGCTTAGCTTAACTTAACTACTCCTGTAATCAAATCTGATCTAGCCTATAGCTTAATCTAACATAACTTAGCCTAATTTATGGTTTCAACTTTAATGGTGAGGACTAATCCTCACCAAACTTAATACAGTAACTCAAACTAGCCTGACCTTACTCAGTCAAATTTACCTAAACAACCCTGGTCGAACTAAATCAAGCCCAATTAACACTGACCTAGCCAAAACTAACTCACCCATAAAGCTACACCATTTTAAAGTGCTTAACCGAACCTATTCTAATTTAAGGTAGCTGGGTATTAGGACTAAACGACTCTTTGGGTTGTAGGAGTTTGTCTGATGGGAAATTGTTTGTTGGGATTTTTTCTAGTAGAAAAGTGGAATATTGTCTAGCTATTGGGATTCTGTTTAGTAGGAAACTGTCTGGTGGGATTTTGTCCAAGTGGATTTTATTCAGGGAATTCTTGGGTAGGATTTTGTCCATTGGAAAACTGTTTAGTGGGATTTTGTCCTATGGATATATGTGTGTTGGGAGTCTTAACCTGTCCTCCTGCAACAGAGTCTACGCTCCTTGCTGCTGCCATGGATTGTATTGGAGATGGTGCCATTTGCCCTTCAAGTTGCCGGTATAGTCATTCTTTTTGTGTATGGAAAAGATGACCCAACACTGTCCCGGGGCGGCGTCTACATAATAGCAGGACTCATCAATATTATCTGCTTCGGTAGGTAACATATGTCTCCTTCAGAAGGTAATAATTCTTACTTGGTTCAGTAACATCATAGGCCTACTCATGTAAGAAACATCATTTATTAGTGTGCAACCACATAGGTATGCCATTTCACCAAGACTTCACTAGGACATTTAGTTATGAGATTATGAGAGCATGTGACAATACAGTAAATCAGTAATGTACTCTGGCTTGAATTGTTTTGAGTATGTGTAAAAGGCTGTACTGAACAGTGAATTTCATAAAACATTGAATTTGATTTTTGGCCCTAAAGACAGCAGCTTTAAGGGTTTTCAGGAAGATTAAATATACAGTACATTACAGTGCAGTATATGTCATGTACAAGAGAGAGAGACTATGCATTATATAAATACAGTATTATGCTTGTCAGTGCTCCAGTGTATCAAACTTAACACCATGTCTTACCACCAGTGATCCATGTGTACTGGTGGATGTGTCCAGTGGCCCACTACCAAAGCCTGAAGGAGGAAGAGACAGTGGTGGAGGCCCTGGTGCCACCCTCACACCCCATGTATCCTGCTGTGCTTTTGAAGTACTGAGCCACCCACAGTTCCTCTGCAACCCCCATTTTGATTCTCTTGTACTGTACCTTATTACCCATTAAGTCCCCATATTTGTATCACTAAACTGGCCTCAATCATCAACAAGAGGCCACATTTGTACCAAATAAGAAGTCACATGTGCACTGTCAGTCTAGTCATAAATATTAAGAAGATGCCACTTCTGAAACATCATTTTTAACATAATCAAGAAGCTATTTCTGTATGATATATCTCACTACAAACAAGAGGTTACATTTGCAGCATCATTCTGCACACCAACATAGGACTTTATTGCAGATGTCAATTTATATATTATTTTTTTTACTGCATTCAAGCAAAGGATAGGCCATAGGTTGGATGGACACACCAGTGAGCACAATTCCCTAATACAGTACTCAACAAATTCATCTTAGGGCATAATTCCCTTTTTGATCCTAATAAATGTTATATCATCCAAAAATTGATTTTTAAATGCCGTTTCATATACTGTACTCTTAAACTTTTCATAATTTCTTGAAACTGGGTAATTCTAATTTTTTTTTTTATTAGTTGGAAGAATCAAGGACAGACTCTCACATCATTTGCTGCAACTCATTCCCCAACTGGTACTAAAACATATGTGCTGTTAAGGTGTTCTCTTCCACATACTGTAGCCTCAAAATTTTCATCTGCTTTACACAACTCGGCCTACACCCATCAACAGCACAACCATCACCCAGACGTTAATGATACAGGCAAAGAACTGAGCACCACACAACTCCACTAAATAAAAATGAATATTGTATTATTTCTCTTAGACAATAATGTATCTCAGCAACTCTAATTATTTGTATAAAAATATATGACTGCAGGAGCACTTGGGACTGTCTGGGGATGATGTGTGACTGTTTTAATACTGGTGACAAAGTGTTCAAGGAAGATATGCAACTGTGGTAACACCATGGAGACAAAGTTGTCCTGGAAAAAATACTTTGGGTTGAGGCAGATCTTGGCTTTCATAATTTGAACTTGGAGCAGCTTGAGAATATGACCTCAGATGTTATAGAGTCTAGAAACTTGATAATATTGCACACTCTAAAGGTTTTAACTTCATGGATATCAAAGTTTCTCTGATATTACATGATTCAGAAATTAAATGATCCTTTAAAATACAGGTGTACTGGATCTTGCTATACTACTGAAGTTTTAAAAGACAATACAGTACTGTAGTACTGTGAGTTTCAAAACTTCTGTAGTATTGCAAGACCCAGAATTTTAATTGCTAATTAGGCTGAAAACCTTGCTGATGTTGGAGATAACAGAACTTTATAAGACTTCAAAGATTCCACAGCTTTTTTTTATACCAAATAGTTTAGAATCTGTATGATGACCCCAAAAACTCCAAAACACTATTGAAACCAAAGGTTTCAGATCTTGATTGAAATTAAACCCTTAAAACTTTCTAGACATCAGAGCTTTAATGGGATAAAAGGTCCTGAAGTTTTACTGCAATCATAGACTTCAAAACTCTATTAAAATCACAAGTTCCAGAAGCTTTATAACATCATAGGCTATAAAAATTCTCAAATAGAAAGTAAGAAATTGACCAAAAGGGCCCAGACTCCCTTCACCAATGAGACGAGATGGTCCACAAATGAGTAGCAGTGAACTCTTGTTATCTTTTTGAACCATTTCTTCATGTTAACTTTCATCAAAATCAATAGCCATTTGTTTGAGTTAGTTCACAAGATAACCAGACAGATACACACAAGTCTATTTCCATATCCCTGCCAGAAGTGACAGGCAATAATGAAATGTTATGAACCTTCTCTTGACTTCTAGAATGAAAAGTAAATTTAAATTATAAAAGCAATTGGATTTTCAGATTCACTGAAGCTTTGGGACTCCCAAATAAATTGTAAAATAATTGTGAGAGGGCAATTCAACAGTAATGAATAGTAAAATTTTAAAGCAACTAACCTTCTCTGGGATATTAAATCACTATACAGTACAGTACTGGAGAGTTAGGAATACTGTGCTGTGAGTTACAGACCAAGAACACATCACTTGGAGCATCAAGCATAATCATCTACAGCCCAGATACTTAAAGGTTAATCTTAAGAGATGATTCTTTGGCCATCATCTTTGTTCCAGTGAGACAGTTATATAGGGTACAAGGTACTTGATTAAGTGAATAGGTTAGGTATTGTCTTACATATCCAGTAAATAACAATTTTGATTAAGAACACGGCATGCATCTTTTAAAGGCAGTAGATACAATATTTACCAAAACAATATTTTGAAAAAATGCACTCTTTGTTGAATGTAAAAATTGATCACTGTTCATAAAGAAATTGTTTTACAATTTCATTGTGATAAAAATTTGCCAAATATACATGTGTGATGTTAATGCCTTTATTATGTGTTTACACAAAGTTTCCGTACATCTGTATGAGTGTAGTACTGTACCTGAATGTTGTCATAATAAAATTACAAACTGTTAATTCTTATTTTCAACCCCTTTATTAGAGTGACACCTTCTCCTCTTTTCTTCTACAACACTTCGTGTGTGTTGGAAATACTGATCAATATATGTAAAATACACATATTTTCTTTGGCCATACAGTCATCCATATTCAGTGGAAGTGTTTTGTGAAGATGCTAAAAACTTCATATGTGTCTGACATAATGCTTTAGATGTTTTTAACAGCTTTTGTTTTAAAGCATTCATATTTTGTATTCTTAAATTTTTACTCGGTAATTTACTCTTACCAACTTGAATTTCATGCATAAATGACAATTTTTCAGCTTCTTTCACTAAGCTGATGCATTGGATTATAGAAACAGCAACAAGAATAGTTAAAAAACATTTGGTATGTATATGTCCATTACTCAATAGAAATAAGATGGTACTACACTGGCATTTTAGTCTTAGCATAGCCCAATAGCAAAGAAACTATAATAATACCCAGAATTAGGAAACATTTACACAACCCTCAACCAAGGAAATAACCACAGAAGATATCAGAACCAATCAATTTTAAGAGATTAGACAACAAAACATATGTCTTAAAATCGAGGATTGGATGTCTCACTTCTTACCAAGTTTGAATGAAATCCAATCTTGTAAGTTAGACATAAAGAGTTGTTGACACTGTTGACACTCTAACAAATTTATAGAGAAACAGCCCAAATCATCACCACCAGCCCGGGATATCAATTTGTTGAAATTAATTACACATTCCTGAAATTTTTAACTTACTGAAAGCTGTGGTTCTCCCCTAAAACCTTTCACTGTCACTAGTAATTCACCATTAAACCTAATCACAGAATATTCCAATACCTGTACAAGTCTTAATTGCAATTCAACACTGTACGAGTATTTTCAAAATCAACGGAACCTTCATACACTCACCACTTCTTCTCTTCAATATTTCCCCGTGAATTAGTCCCTTTACTATAGGGGTTAATGCCAGACGCTTTTATCCAGCAGAGGGGATCCCGTACACATGTGGTCAATATTGCATCAAATATTCTTACGTACTACATCTCTCAAACGTACTATTTCCATCCTTTTGTTAACCCCTTGTGTATGGGAATCCCTTTGAGCTGAATATAATCATCAGGTGTTAGCCAAATAAAATATCAAAAGTGGCATCCTATTAGTGAAGGGATTAAAGATAGAAATCTCTCAACAGTGAAAGTAAGCTAGTTGGTGTAACCCGTCAGTATACACTCACAATTTCAGAAGAAAAGTCCACTTCTAACTTAGTACTTCTGCAAACTTGAATGAATCAGATACAAGCCTATACAGCATTATAATCTGGCAAACCTTCTTACAATAATTTATCATGCCTCATATGTCCTTATTTATCACATATTAGTGAGCGAATAATCCCTAACACTAATGCCGTTGAAAGAATTTCCTGCATTATTTTACTCCACATTAATAATACATTTTACAGTTCTAGAGAAAAAGGAGATTTTGTATCCCCAATTGATCGTGATTGTTATTCAAAACTGGCCAAATGGATTCTCTCCCACAAAACAGGTATTACCGATGTGTTACTGTTTCTAATAACATTGAATTGAGCATGCTATTATGATCACCTCAAACACATCAAAAAACAATATTAGCCCTTGTTGTACCCAGGTTCAAAATTTACCCCTCAAATGAGTGCAATTAAAAATATTGTAACAAATTTAAAATATTTTATTAAAAAAAATACACTATATCTTGTACATATAAATAAATAGAACCTGAACCAAATTCTACTAAACAGCTAATTTTCCCTGCATAAAGTTACAACTGTACCTTCTTCAAACACAGCAAGTTGTTCTCCACCTATGCATATGTTCTCTGCTGCCTTAGAACCAACCTGACATATAAACACTGGTACTGTTCCCTTACTTTGTAAAACAATTTCCACTGCTGAGCTTAGTTTAAGTTCAATACCTCCTGTGACATCACAGCTTAGTGCATCTGTTGTTATCTGTTGTACAATCTTTCCATTTTCATCCACCCTGATATTTGGTATCAATTTGGCACCTGAAATATACATCATATTATTATTATCTCTCTTAAGGTACTGCACTGTGTTTATAAAGAAACAAAGGATTGATCTTGACATTCTGTAGCCAGGTGGCTCCTTCTGTTTACTTATTGAGTGGTTCTGTGTCCTCAAACAACCCCTAGTTATGTCAGCCAAAGGTGATCTATCAACACATTTGGGCAAAATCAGTTACCCCTCCTTCCCATTACACTCTGTAACTTCAAAATTGGGGATAGGTTTATTGTAAACCACACCTACCATCGGAAGGTTAGGTAAAATCTTATGTTTTCTTCATGTATTTTATCCTATTTTACATTAAAATACATCACGTTTCAGCAAAACTACTATTTATTTCCGAGTATATATTCATTCAGGTACAGCTAGGGTAAAATATGCATGTGATGTAACAGTTTTTTAACTGAAAACGATTCGAAAAACACGTGTACCGTCTAGCTGATACATTCAACAGCTGGTGGTGCGTGATGCGTCGTTGTTAACAATAGGAGGTTGAAGTAGATTACCGGGTATTATATTAAGTGTGAACAATAGAAAAGGTTTTTATCACCGGTATTTTTTGTAGATCAATGAGAACTGTGATACCGTATATGATAAGATAAGTTAGCCTGTGCTAAGAACTTCAACATAGACTACTGAAAGCGCGTTGTAAGGTAATTTAGCCTATTGTAAGTTGTTGAGCTTCATTTGCTGAAGGAACTGCACAACTTTTCATTACTAATTGATACATATTTTACGTTACCATTGTTTACTGGCAGTAAATGGTAAATAATTTTCATGTCTGAAGCTAAAAGTTGCTCCTCGCCCTTCCCATCATGCACGGGTTCAACCTAACAAACTATTACGCATGTATAGGACGACCCCCAATTTTTTGCCTAAATATTTGGTCTTAAAAACTCGAACTATGCACGAGTATATACGGTAAATAAAATAAATAAATATAAACTGGATAATGCCACCTTTCAGACTCAGCCTAAATATACAGGAGTACACATTCTTGAAATCAAACTACAAACCAAATTCCATTTTGATTTGCAAACCCTTTCTCAAATTACTGAATAGAGACAAATTTAGTACAGATGGAGCTCTCAACATGCTATGGTCGGAGAGACATAACAACAATGAACTGAGCTCTCAACAGTGATTTATATGAATCCTAAGTTGCCCACTTTTAAAAGGCTAACAGTAGAATGGGCTGGAGTATTAAGACTATGTCCCTTCAAAGAAATAGGAATCACAAATCATCATATTTACCAGGCACTTGTGGAGGTTTGTCATAAATCCCAGCTACATCAGTCAAGAAGACAACTTTCCCCACTGCCAGCTCCTTACAAAGTGTCTGAAATGCGCAACTAATAAGTTGCATCAATTTGTTTTTGAAAAACGTCTATATTATGCTCAGTGCAAAGGTATCATGTTGAAGTAAATTAAGACATGGTATTGCAACTGATATGAAGTAACAGCAAGACATCAATCAAGCCATAGGTTACCTACTGTATACTGAATAAGTGAACAAACAGGACAATATATACAAATGTGTTTAAAGATTAACTTATGTTAGGTTAATTCTTCTTCTAATTTCTGTCATATGATGGTTTTATACCAAGAATAAAAATGTAACATCACAGACATATATTGAATCTAAAGAATAAATAAATAATAAACAAACAAGACTTGACCTTAATAACAGTATCACCACTCAAGATGGTGCAGCCTGTGACTGTGTCCAGCACACAATCTCCATGTAACACAGGAACAAACCCCGCCCCCAGGAAACTGCTCACAGCTGACACTCCAGACTGTACCACCTTTCCATCTTGGGTTGTCCAATTGCCACATGGCTGCATAAAAACAAATGAAACTAAACAATTGTGTCTGTAATAAAGATGCTCTTCTTTGCACACTTGACTGCAAAGTTAATGAATATGTCACTTTCACATTTGTAGCAGTACATAAAATATAATGTTTTGTCTCAATGTGACTAACATTTTATTTGTTCTGGTTCCTACAGAAAGTTCATACTGTACAAGGTCTTCAATTGTTCTAATATAATTCCATAACATTAATACCCAGAACACTCCTTCCAAACTTCATGAAAATATTATTTCAAACACGAACACTTACATTCATATTTCAACAAACACATTCTCATACCAAAGTCTCATCACTTCATGTGAGAAAATACAGAGGAGCAGAGCTGCTATGATTTGAATTAATAAAGTAAATACTTTCTGTAGATGAATATGGGGCCCACACAACCCAGTGGTATACTTAGCAGGGGTGGCACAGTGGGCTAGTTAAACCATCCCCCACACCCATCAAATAAAAATATATACAGTATATAAAAAAAAAAACATACCTCTCAGTTTAAAAAACTTATTTTTAAACAGACACAAAAACAATCACAAAGTTTACCATCTACAGAATTCTATAAATTAAAATTTGATTTATAATTACGGTATATTTTGTTTGCACCTTGAGTTTTTGAGGTTCTGGGTCAACCAATGCAACCAAGAGAGAAAGTTTTAATCATTCATTATACACAACCATTATAAGAAAACACAGTGCTGTGTGGTGTACTGGGAGGGAATAGTTGCTTATGAGCAATGATGGGGTAGTAGTACCACATTGGAAACATCGCTTCTTGTCCAATCAGCGAAGTTAAGCAACGTTGGGTCTGATTAGTACTTGGGTGGGTGACTGCCTGGCCCTAAGTACACCAGATGTAGCTGGCATAAGGACTCTACTGGAAATAAGTTTTTCATAACTTTGTCAGCTGTCCGTGGTCAAATTGACTGAATATCAATTATTCTGGGCCATACTGTATTATGGATTGGAAACTGTATCACAGAAGCTGTAGTAATCTAGTTTGAAAGTTTTACACAAGACACACTGATACACAAGCAAATCTTGTGACCATTGTACAAGTACACACTTCTCGGTATTCCCATCTTGGACTTCAGTTCTGTATCTTGCCTCACTTTTCACACCCTCCCCACACTATTGTAAACCCACACGTAATCCAAATTTCCAAAGTGTGAGCTGTTTCTCTAACATCTCTTTTACATACAGGTATTTAATTTTGTAATACAGACATACAACTTATAGTGTTCTTGATGTATTCCTAAACCCAGAGTACAGTACGATAAGAAGTCGTAAAACTTGGTACTATAGGGATGTATCCATGACCCCATTATTTTGTTTTGTCTATGAGCAAACATTGGTAACAACATAAGTAATGATACTGTACATTTAATAAGTGTAATAAAGCATTTATAAATAAATAAGAAGTATTAATGACAATGCACATTAAAAAAACAATGAAAAAACAATAAGTTACATACTAACAAGTACATGCAGTTGAAGCTTGTGTAAGACTGACCACAATCTACTGTCACTCTAACATGATCCTCCTCCTAAATGGCAGCGAGTGGAAAAAGTTTAAAATTCTTCTTGAACAAGTCTGTGTTATGCACTGTTGGCAAGTGCTCAGCATGCACTAACTTCAGAGTGTATCTGTACCTGCACCAGTTATTGGTTAAGTCTGGTCTTGAATGAGCTCACACTCAGTGACATCAAAAATCTCTCTGGCAGATTGTTGCAAGAATTCACAACTTTCACTTCCAAATAGTTTGCCCTGACAATTTTCTGAACTTGTGGCTTCTTTAACCTGAGGCTGTGACCTCTAGTGGAGTGGGCATCCACTATGTCATAATAAAACTAATATACTCTACTGTAACTCTTAAGATAATATTCATCACCCGTATAAAAATAATCTTGCATTGTCTATATACATGGCAAATCAATGTAAACTTGCATGAAGATTTCACAGATTAAATATCAACCTATCTAATATTAAATCATAGAATATCATGTACTTACTGACAACCCTACAGCAGGTAATCCTTCATCAGTCAATTGTTCCACTACTTTGGCATTGAGCTGTCAAAAAAGAAAAGGAAAAAAAGGTACAGTTTATTGACTACTACAAACATTTGCAAATTACATACAAACAAACATAAAAGAGATGAAATAAAAAATATCACAAACAATGTGTGTTGTTGGAAATACAGTATATCCAGAAATCACCAAACTGGATTACAGCATCCAGGTAGTGATTATGTACAGTATATACTGTACAGTATTATGCAGAACAGTATCAGGCACACCAAAAGGGAACCAAATTTTTATACTTAAGGTAGATATGATGTGGTTTGAGAAGGAAGGGGAGAGAAAGGGTAAAAAAAGAAGTAAAGGGAAGGAAGGGAAAGAGGTTATCAGCATGACTATTGCAGATTTTGTTTACTGGTAAGCTTGACCTTAAATGTTTTTTTTTTGACATCAAGCTACAAGATTCTTCAGACACTGGATAAATAAATAAAGTGGATTCCTTAAATGACGTTTCCCTAATGACTAATTAGAATTGGTATATTTTTTCACCTATGAATTACCTTTATCTATGTACTGGCTAATAAAAAAAAATGTAATGTACCTTCATACATGAAACTCTAGTCAGTGAGAAGCCATAATTGACCTGTGACCCACCACTGTCCCTCATCCATCCTCCTGTAACCTTATACTCTTTAGCCTGTTGATGGCCAAAGGACCTGGAAAATGTAATCTTATGAAGACAATACTGTACTGTAATGCACTGATTTGTACTGGTCTAGGGTAATGAGCAAGTACTGGTAATACTTCTATCTTATTATTATATTTGCAAGAGTACTATACTTATAATTTAACCATTTACTGTAGATGTTAATCTCGCATATAAATGCAGTACAGTACAGTTTACATACAGTAACAACTGTATTATGACATTTTTTAAAGCTTTTAAAATCAAAATGACAGGCAGAACAAATGAGTAAACTTTTTCAGAAATTATTAAATTAATAAGGATGTACAGTACAGTATAACTTTTTTCAGAAAAGGATCACTTAAAAAATATTGACATTTGCTGTATGAGAACATAATGTACCCGGTAAGTGTGACCTAATTCTTAAGACTATTAAGAAACATGAACTTATCTGCATTTGGAGAGAAAACTAAAATGAAGGGGATGATCTGGCCTACAGGGTGTGGGTTGCATCTTAGGTCATTAAATATTCACTACTGATAAACATACAGTACTGTACACCAACCTACCATAACCCATTATTCATGATTTTCAATGAAATGTCACAAAAGGTCCAAAACAGATTTGATGAGGCTGATAATAAAGGTATCCCTAGTTTATGTGCTGCTGGTTATTAAACAATCAGATCAAACTATAACTACAGAGCACTTGGGTGTTAAAATGGATACCAATGATTCAGCCACATAGATTAACAATTTCCATTATCAAATTAATGAACATTTTCCTCTAGAAACAATATGAAGTGATCAAAACATTAGTTGATTCATTCCTCATGGAAACACCGACTACCTACCCTGCACCATGTACGACTACAACTTTTAGTCCTTTGTTCACACACAGCTTGACTAGTTTCACTGACTCTCTTATGGCAGCTTCCTTGAATGTTTCAGGCAGTGACTTCTCTGTGATTGCACTGCCCCCTAACTTGATCACAAGATCCACTGCCACAGGAATCGACATCATGATAGGTAAGGATGTAAACAGGTGCAATCAGAAGCTTTGAGTCATACACATTAGCACCCTGAAAGATGAGAAGGGTAAATTTTCAATACTTAATCTAAATTAGAAAAGTAATTGTTCTTCCACTGTACAATAACTACTGTACAGTATTGATTTGCAGGAGTGATAATGGCCACTGATCGGATCAATGCAACAGCTAAAAATATACCGGTAAGTAAACCCCGTATTTTCCCACTTAGGAGAGGCCTGACTACTTTTGTCAGTGATTTGGATATGATCAAAGGGGAAATGGTGGGCCTACAGGATGTTACATGTACCTCTTACAGCACAGTAATTAAGACAAGGAACCAAACAACATTATAACCAATGAATGTTGTTGGGAACTTAGGGGAAATAAACTCTTTAAAGCCATCTTTGGTTATCCCTCATTAAATCAACTATATACCAGTGTTCAGTACAGGTATTCCTACACTTAGTGTGTGAAATTGTGGACAAAATTGCCTGGACATTTGGCAATATTAGTATTTGCAGCATTATTAGGCGAGTAGGATTGACATTTTTCAATTTTTCCATTTCATGGTTCCCTCATAATATGATATGTGGTGAAAATCAGCATTATTAGATACAGTATAAACCAGTTACCAGTATATATACAGTACTACATGGTCCAGGGGCACTGTAGATGCAAAATATTGCCAAGAATTCAGGGAATTTTCTCCACAAATGTACCGGTACATGTTTAAACAAAAGTACTGTAATATATATATATATATATATATATATATATATATATATATATATATATATATATATATATATATATATATATATATATATATATATATATATATATATATATATATATATATATATATTGTATGATAATTTTACTGAGTAAATATCTAAGTAATGCTTAAATAGTTCCCTTACTCTGCTATTAGCAGTTAGTACAGTATTTAATCTCATTATCTCCCACTATGAATTTACACATATAAGATTCTGCAGTACTGTACTAGGGGCAGTGATCATCAGTTTATAATGAATGCCTGGTGTACTGTACACTGGTAAGCATAAGGCATTTTCTTCTTCACAACCATAAAGGATAGAAACAATTTACCTAATCATATCAAATACCCGGCATTGTACTGTAATACAGTACAGTATTGCATACTGTACAGGTATACACAAGCTTTAGCTACAGTATGAGAAGCGAGTGCTTCTCTGTATTACTGACATACAAATGTTGTTCAGTACAGTACAGCACAAAGAGTCTTGAGGAAATGGCTCATCAGTCATGGATAGTCTAAGTGCAATAGAGTGTTAGTTACATTTAATCACACATTTGTCTATTTTTGTACATTTAATATTACCAAGTACAGTAGTCCCCTAGTCTAAACCATGGACACTGAATAAGCTTAAGGTGGTTCAGTAAGGCTTCCTTGGTCAATTTGACTTACCACATTAGAAAAACTGAGAAGACCTTAATATGAAAAGAGCAATTCCTTCACCCAATTTGGTTTAGTATTGAGGTAAAAACGAGTTGTGTAAATTATATTTCGTAATTTAGTTAGTTAACTCAGGCAACTGTTCTTCACTATTACACTGGTTAATATTATGGAAGACCTTACTGAATAAATATATATTGGATGCCTTGTAAATATATTCTAATATTATTTTCACACATAAACACTCATTTTATGGTAAAGATTCATTTTAGGTCCAGCATAGAATTCAATGTTTCTCTTTAACCTTTACATGGCTTAGTAACAGTAGGCAGGCAGTGGCCTCGACGGCTTTAGTGTTTTAACTAAAACTGAAATAGTGTTTTGTATGGATTAGCATTCATAGCTACACATCAACCTTCAGCTGGAATGGTTGAGAAATATGGAATTAAATACTAATTACTGTACTCCAAAAATATAGCAACCCAATGCAAATGCCTATAAACGGGATTCTTGAGCTACCCTTAATTGGATCTACAGTACTTATTATTTATACCTATATAACTGCTCTGAGTACATACTGTATAACCTGAAAAATTAAAATGACATTTTCAATCTACATTTATATCGTCCAGCGGCTTTTTCCTCCTAATATCATACACTTCATTACACATCCAACTATTAGTAGGTACTTATACATTAATGTAATGAAGGAATTAGATGGAAGTTTCCTCACTACAACTAAACCGTCAACAGGAGCAGTACATGTCAGACTCACATCACATGACCACGCGGAAGTTTCGTCAGCAAGTACAGAGTGCACAACCAGTTTCATGTTGCAGGGTGTACCCCGAACACCACTGCCAGAACGGTTACGTTTATAAAGCAAGTGACACAATTACAAGGCTAACTTAACCTAACAAAAAATTTTCATATATTACTGATTTACATTACTTTACATATTAGTCCAAAAATAAACATTTGGTTTACAGTTTTCGTTCCTGTAACTTCCCTAACATTACGTGATACGCCAGGTATGATAAAGAGTACAGCAGGTCGAGTCAGTCAGAGCCACACGTAACGTAACTGCGTGGAGGTGTTGTCGAGCTATAAAGGCTGACTCGAATTTCAGTGAGAAGTGGACTTGATTATTGAGTTCAGGAAGCAGACACGATAGCACTTGTCACAATTGAACTGGTAAGGATTTCAGATACTTTAATCTGTTTGCAAATTATGTATTTGTGGCGGAACGGCGCGGGTATTCAGAATTTTTTTTAGTAGTAGGCGGGTCCGACTAATTACCCAAATGTAGCCGCAATGAAGTCAAATGATGGTCCTACAAGCGTAAATCGGGCTGTGAATCACTTCTCGATTATTATTTGGTGTCACAAAGTCACAGAAAATTGGTAAACTTAATTTAATCTAAGTTGTGTTAGGTTAGATTAGATTAGGTTAGGTACATGCACTCGATCTATCAACTCAGATTAAATTAAGTTTACCCATTTTTTTTTACTTTGTGACACCAAATACTAGTCGAGAAGTGATTGGTAACCCGATTTATTCATGTAGGACCATTATTTGACTTCATTGCGGCTACATTTGGGTAATTAGTCGGACCCATCTGAGTTAATAGATCGAGTGCATGAACCTAACCTAACACAACTCAGATTAAATTAAGTTTACCAATTTTTAGTAACTTTATGACACCAAATAATAATCGAGAAGTGATTCACAGCCCGATTTACGCTTGTAGGACCATCATTTGACTTCATTGCGACTACATTTGGGTAATTACTCGCTCCCTCGGTACATGCACGCGATGTTAATACTCAGATTAAAGTAAGTTTTCCAATTTATTGTGACTGTGACACCAAATACTAGTCGAGAAGTGATTGGCAGTCCGATTTATTCATGAAGGACCATTATTTGACTTCATTGCGGCTACATTTGGCTACATTTGGGTAATTAGTCGGACCCGTAGTAGGCAGCTACCAAACAGGGAGGTACTACCGCCTGGGAAGATATTGGAAGCATAATGTATTGTCTAATGGTAGATCCTGCTGCCATTGGCATTACAAAAATTGTGACCAAGTCCCAGTTTGCTGATCTGAACTTTCTGCCTCATCTACACACAATTGCAGGTTTCAATTTTTTTCTCTTACTATTGACAACACAACATACATACCCGTATATCGTTTCTCATTTTTGATTATTTTCTTTTAATTTTTGTATTTCCTTATGGCTCATTATTATTATTATTATTATTATTATTATTATTGTATTGCTATCATTTTTTTTATTTTATCTGAATTATTATTATTATTACTATTACTACAGTATTACATTTTTGCCCCCAAGGCCCCGATGTGGGTCAATGACCTGTGCCCGGGTGGGCTAATCCCCGTAAAAAAAATAAATAAATAAATAAATAAATGAAATAAAATAAAAATTGTCCCGCGAAGAGGCTATGCCCGACTATGGGACCCATAGTATGGGTCACATCTTAGGTTAAAGAAGCCTCATGTTTAGAAAATTGTCAGAGCACACTTTTTTGGGAGTGAGAAATGTAAACTCTTAGAATAATCTGACAGTAATAACATAACTGTGCGCTGATGACAAGTGTTTAGAGTGACCATCATTCTAGGGTCACTGTTATGTAATAATACTGTACCCTTAAGTTAGTATGATTATTGAATGTTGTAACTGTAAACTGAAAAAGCTTTAGAGTTACAGGTGACATTTACATCCTGTGGATATGAAGCAGACTCATGGCTGATATACTGTACATGTATGTCAGTAGTACTGTAGGCAAAGAATGGGGTGAATTCCAAAGAGAGAGACTGTACTGTACATGCACTGAACATAGATTCATTATTTTGCAGGTAATGATGGCAGGAGATGGAGATTCATGGAAGCGGTGTGGCGTGTGTGACAATGATTATGACTCTCTACATCATGTGCCTGTCTTCCTCCCTGCCTGTGGCCACACCTTTTGCTGCCCTTGCCTGATCAAAATCAACAATATCAATGAGAAGCTCAATTGCCCCATCTGCAGGTATGAAAAATTTTTGTATTTTCTATTTCAAGTCACCTGCCATCATGGAGATGTACTGTACTCATTCTCGTAGATTCCTCTGACAGAAGTAACCTCTCTGCAAGTACTGACATACTGTGCATGTACAGTACAATGGATCCTTGCTATATGTTGTGCTCCCATTGTTAGTGATAAATCGACCAATGGCGCCCAAATCAGTTTCTTGTTTCAACAGGAAGCCGGACTCTTTTTCTACTCAATACAGAGTTTATTCGTCATCCATCGAACCGTTTTATATTAAGTCTTTGTGTACCCGAATATGATGTATAAATAGTGTTAAAAGGCAGACAGTGTTATGACGCCCCCAAGTGTGCTGAGATGGTCAACTTACTATTCATCTCCAGTAAAATAACGAATTGCTTATATTGTTTTGTAATTGAAAAAATAGATCCTTTTTGTATTATCTTATATTTATAATTTTAACCTCTTTTGTAGTCATAAAAACATCAGAGAGAGTTAAAATCTCCTATGCCAATTTTTTTTTTTTTTGTAATTTGTTAAAGAAAAAGTCTTGTTTTACATGTTCCAAAATACATCTCTTGTTTACTTTATACAATACAGTACAGTATTGTAAAATAAAAATAAGGCCCTCTTTTTCATACAGTCCCAAATTAGAGATTCTCTTGAAATCCAAATGTCTTATCTATTGTCTTTTGCAGTCCAAAAGACGGGTCCTGTTCTGTTGGAATAAAAATGGCTAGTTCCAGTGTTTGTTGGAATTAAAAGAACAATTCCAGTTTCTTGGCATGGCCTGTTTCACTTACAGTCCAAGAAGTGGGTCCCTTCTGTTTGAACATACATACTACAGGTATCTGCCATTTAGCAATAATTTGGTTTAGCGATTTACAATTTCTTTAGCGATAATTTGGTTTAGCAGTTTACAATTTCTAACACCCTTGGTTATTTAACAATCTGCAATTGTTTGGTTTAGCGATTTTCAACTCACTGGGAAAAATTCCAGAGGGACATCAAAATATTGGGGATTCTGTGCTCCAAATGGGCATCTCTACTGAGCAGGCTCAGTGGGTGTATATGCAGGTGTGGATCCAGGAATATGAAAGGGGGGAGGGGTTAAGTTGTGTGTGGGTGAATGTGGCAAGCACAGATAGCCTATCCTGCTGGGGGGGGGGGGGGCAATGTAAGGGCCCCCCCCCCCACCATATATTTTTTTTAATCTGACCAATATCATGGGAATTTTGAGGCCATATTGAAGCCATGTGCACTTGATATTAGGAGATATTATGATGTCAATAGTAAACAATTTTTACTATACAATGATGCCCGAGTACAACACTGCATTGGAATTTTCTGGTGAAAAGGGGGTACGGATCTCCAGGACCCTCCCCCTGGATTCGCCCTTGATATGGGCAAGTGGGGTATAATAAGAACACAATGGGCAGTCGCATAAAGGTAGGGGCAGGCAGGTGATAAGAGGAGGATTGACGGCGTAGCAGCGAGGTACGGGTGGGAGAGAGGGAGGCATATGGAGGTTGTGTGTCTGCCTCTACCACCACCAACTTCACCGCCTTACCCGATACCATATATCAAGTGCCAACTCCTAAAAATTGCTTCATTGAATAATATTTACCGGTACGTATTTGAGTACAATACAAGGGGTTTTGTGGTACAGCGGTAACTCGCATAACTCTCACCAATATGTCAAGGGTTCAAGCCTCGGCCCGGACACACATGAGAAGGGTGTTATTGTTGTGACGGCACCGAGTGTAAGCTCTTTCAAGACCAGACTTGACCAGCACTGGATCAGGTTCAGATACATTCAGGAGCCAATGCATACCCAGTACTTGCCAACAGTGTGTAACAGAGACGTGACCAATCGATCGCCCAACAAGAGCGCCCAACGCTCTTGTCGGCTATCTGTGGACCAGATAAGAACTGTTTACTGTTTTCCCTTTGTTTTTGATGTACTGTTGTGATATTGTGTACTAAAGTGATTGCTCCTCCATCTCCCTCCACTCTTGTTGGCTATCTGTGGACCAGATAAGAACTGTTTACTGTTTTCCCTTTGTTTTTGACCTTATGATAATTATTATTTTTTTTATTATTTTTGCACATTCTGTATTAATGAAAGTATGTGCATGTAACAGAGTACAAAAAAATGAAAAAATTACTTATATTTATCCAAAATTACGAGTTGAACAATAACATAGTTCCCAACTGAACCCCACCCACTTTGAGTGTTACTGGATGGCAAGTCAGCTACTCAGCTACACAATTATTTGCAATCTCGTTTCTGTTCGCATCCGGATCGCTAAACGACACATCCCTGTACTGCAAAAATAAGTCCTGTTTCTGGTGCAACCTATAAAATATCCTGTTCCTATTGCACCCTAAAAAAATAGATCCTGTTTCTGCCAGTGAAGAAAGAGTTTGTTTATCAAGTTCTGTATTTCACACCCTTCAGAGAGCCACATTGTGGTACATCACCAGAGAATCTGCCCAAAAACAGAGCGGTGTTGGATATGCTACCACCCAAGTCACAGGTCAGATTCTTAATCTATGCAGGTACTTTATTTCATTTTTGTATGAGTATGTGATAGTAATGATGATGATAATAATAACTAACAGTAATTTTATAGTTAATAATTGCATAAAATAATTACTATATAGCCAGGTAGTAGTAATAATAATAGAGTATTGGATAATAATAATAATAATAGTTACTGATTCCAGCTCCACACTGAAGGTCCTTTCTATCTCAGACATAGCCTTCCTTTCCAGACACCAACAGCACTGAATTTTCTGTGAACACTGAATAATTTTTCTATTGCAATTAATTAAACCAAACATTACCAAAGCCTGAATTATTGAAGAATACCTAAACAATAAAATGCTTACTGTAAGATACAGTACCTTAAATACAAGAGGCAGGCACAGTAGTAGGCAGCTATCAAACGGAGGTACTACCGCCTGGGAAGATATTGGAAGCATAATGTATTGTCTAATGGTAAACCCTGCTGCCATATGGCATCACGAAAATTGTAACCAAGTCCCAGGCTGCTGATCTGACTTTCTGCCTCATTTACACACAATTGCAGGGTCTCGGTTGTTGCTCTTACTATTGACAACACAACATACATACTGTATATCATTTAGTACTCTTGATTTATTTTTCCTTTTTATGGTTATTTTATTTTTATTATAATTTTTATTAATTTTTATTTATTTATTTATTATTATTATTATTATTACAGTATTATTATTATATTTTCGCCCCTGAGGCCCCGGTGTGGGTCAATAAAATAATTTTAAAGTTACGTCGGTTTTATTTGAGACCTGTGTAGGCTATACTAGGGCATAGGCTATTGTAAGGTAAATAGATCTTGGCATCCCAAAACCAGAACATAACTGGCACTAAAGTTTTGGGGTAAAGGAGCCTCACCCTTTATGAGTTTCATAATCAGCAATTTCTTACTAATTAGCAAACCCATAGTACAGTAGTACTTGTTTGTTTTCACAAATTTGTTAGGATATACAGCACTTGACATGAGAATTTTTTTTCTCTTTTTTTTAATGTGAAACCTATAGGCTTTTCTAGCTAAGAAATTTTATAATTTTTGTTGATAAACTTATTACAGGCATTCACCTGCTTGTGTTAGCGGTGATTATTATGATAGAAATGGATAAAGATCTGGACACAGATAAGTGGCAGGGCTGAAGTAAACACTTTGTTGGTTTTTCTTTATTGTAGAAAATATAGTTTCACAGGTACTGAGTTCAGTTGAGAGTACAGTACAGTATATTGTACCTTCTCTGCTAAAGGAAGTGTCTTTGTGCACTTATAGGAGAACACTTAGTGAGGTGTTCACTGGGTAACAAGTGATATGAGTCTCCTCACTCTGACCAAGGGAGAGAGAGCGAAGCAGGTCTCGGGAAGGAAATGCATCAGATATCTTGTTGTTGCTGACATGTGCTGACCTCAGCCTGCCCTCGCTCGCTCCCCGAAGGAACTGCAACCTCAGCCATGCATAACATCAACAGCTGAGGCACGGTTGAATAATTTGGTATTATATTCATTTGGGTAAAAATTTATATCATACAAATGGTGCTGTTACACCCCTTCTTCCTAAATACACCAAAGTACTGTACAGTTTTGTTTTTTTATCTTAACAGCGAGATGAACAGCACCATACTGATAAAGGTGCTCCGAAGGACCCCTCCCCACCCAGCAACCCTCAATCATCTAAGTCCAAGCTTCACCATACTGATAAAGGTGCTCCGAAGGACCCCTCCCCACCCAGCAACCCTCAATCATCTAAGTCCAAACCTCCTCCTAAAGCCTCAAAGGGCTGGATCTATGGTCTGGGTATTGCTGCAGGTGCTGTAGGTGCTGTGGTTGCAGCACCTGTTGTACTGACAGGTGAGTTCTCTTCCCATCATGGTAAAGTTTTCAGAACTGACTACAGCTGTGTCTTGATTTACACAGTAGTTGTTTATGAAAATGGCTGTGTAACTAAATAGCTTGTAAATCAAACATAATTTTCCCTTAAGAAATAAAAGAAATGGTGAGGTTAGAGGGAGCACAGTCTTAAAACTCATTCATATATCTACAGTATATACCGTAGACCTTAGATATGTACAGTACAGTATTTCCTTCATGATTTATTTTTCAGTTTGTATTTGTGACTCATAATAATAAAGAAATTAAAAACAAAAGTATAGTTCCAACCTAAAAAAAATATACAACCTACCATATTATTACAGGTTGTACCTCTCTAGTCCGGCATTCTGTGGTCCGGAACGATTTTAGTTTATCCAATAGGTAGATAGGCAGCTTATCTGAATTATTATTATTATTACAGGAGTATTAAATTTTTGCCCTTCAGGCCCCAATGTGGGTCAATGACCTATGCCCGGGTGGGCTAATCCCCTTAAAAAAAAAAACGCGGGAAATTACGGTTTGTTTACATCCGGCAGTTCAGCTGCTCTCTCTCTCTCTCTCTCTCTCTCTCTCTGCTTGAATATACAGAGTACAGTACAACATTTAACCCTTCAATATATATGCGCAGTAAATAAGTGTTGCTTTCATATTCTTATGTAGAGTAATGATATGTTTTCACATGTACGCACTTACATACGCGCAGTCTCACTTTTTTTTTTACCATTAATGGTTAGCTACTTATATTGTTCCATTTATTAACATTAAATAACATTACACATTACAGGTACACACTTCAAACAACCATATTAATTTTTTTACATTAATTTTACTACAGCTAAAATCAGGGTCTTATTTTCTTCAGTTTTATATGTAGAACCAATCAGTCACTGGTTTTCTAAGCTTTAACATAAACAATGCCGGCAGCCGTCTCGTCTCTAATATTCCACGTATTATTAATAAATTGTATTGTTAATTTTGCACACACAAACATTAATTCAATAAAAACAAATTCAGAAACATTAATTAAAATATATATGAACAGTAAATAAGTGTTGCTTTCATATTCTTATGTAAAGTAATGATGATATGTTTTCACGTGTGCGCATGCGCACTTACATACGCGATCTCTCTTTTTTCTTTACCATTATCGTTAGCTACTTCTATTGTTCCATTTATTAACATTAAATAATATTACTTAAAACAACCATATTAATTTTACTACAGCTACAGCCAAGGTCTTATTTTCTTCAGTTTTATATGTAGAACCAGTCAGTCACTGGTTTTGTAATCAACGAAAACAATGCTGTGTCATTTCCTTGTGTGTTTTAATATTCTACGTATTATTAATAAATTGTATTGCTCATTTTGCACACATAAACATTAATTCAATAAAAAAGACATTCAGTAGTAAACAATAATGAATCTTTTATACATAAGAGAAATGACGCTGTTTACACGATTATGCACATCGTCTGCACGTTGGTGGGCTGTTCAAACCCGTCGAAATTCAAGTTTCCGCCGTCAAAATTTTTATTTATTTATTTTTTTGTGTGTTCTAATAAAATACGTTAAGAATTAAAAACTCGCGAAATTTGAGAAGCTACTATACGACATTTAACCCTTCAATATGTCTTCAAAGAGACCATGATGCAGAGAAAGTGGTGCCAGTGCTTCCAAGCATAGGCACAAGTCACTATCTATCCAGGAAAAGGGTGAATTTCCATGGTCCGGAACCGGTCAGGTCCCGAGGTTGCCGGACTAGAGAGGTACAACCTGTACTGTACTGGCATTTACCAATCATAATAAGGTCCAAAAATAATGCAAAAACCAAACACCTCATGGACAATCACAAGAGAAAAATACAGTACAGTAGGGTTGGGATATATCACGAGATAGGGTCCAAGGATGTTTGCTATATAGTATACTAAATTGCAATATATAATTACATGTAATCAATGGGGAAAATAGGTTCAGGTTCTGGAGGCCAATAAAGGTGATTAAACTTAACTTAATGATTTAATTTTCTTACTAACTAAAGCACCAATGAACACTAGACTCGGGAACAACAGGCCGTTTCAATATCGGTATCAAGGCACACCAGACTCGGCAGCAGACGCCACACTGCCACCTCCACTTGACAATCCCACACCTACATAAACAAACAAACCAAAAATATTAGTTACAGTATTAAATCTTTTCCATTAAGCTTTCCATTCTCTTCACTTCACTTTTCACGTCACTCGCAACCCATTTACACTCACCTTAGAAGTCGTAATCTGCAGCAGAGTCGGCTGCTTACTCGTCACTCACTCAGAAAGACTGAGCGGGCGAGCGTGAATGCGTGGGTGAGCAGCCACGGTGGTGCCTCTGGTGAGCAAATCACGCATTTGTTTGCCATGGTGGTACATTTCATATATTTCTTGCCTGATTTCCCTCACCAAATAAATAAATTTATCACTACAGTACTGTATATTGGAAAATGTTGATAATTTTGGTAGTCACGATATAAAAAAATAATTTAAAAATAAATTGTGATTTATCCCTACCCTACTGTAATCACTTTCACTCTAATAAGGGTTATTGGATGTTACTGTGTGGTGCATGCTTATTGCTCATTCTGCCTCATGCAACGAGTGTTCTACCTCACCGGTAACACTTGCTACACTACTCTGCCAGCTTGCAGGGCAATTCAAACTTTGTATATCCAAAAATATATCCATGTTAATTAAAACAAAAATTATAGTATAAACATAATGCATAATTCGAGATACAACTGTAGTCTTCATTCAATATTTGTAACTGAGGCCTAGGGTCAGTTTATAGGAAGGCAGCTGATTGGCTGGCATATGAAGCACACGAAGAGTTGCTACAGTTCTTTAGTATTTAATGTATCGTATTTATATTCTGATATTTTAAGGGATAGTGACCTTTCTTTGTTAATCTCAGATAATTTGCACACTGGTAATAACATATCATAAAGAGAACACGATCATGATGAACAAATTCAGCTACGTAAACTCCCTCTCGCCCTGTGACATCACTAGAAGTCACAACCCCAAGTTAAAGAAGCTACCAGTACAGAAAACTGTCTGAGCTAACTTCTTTGGAGTAAGAGTTGTGAACTTTTGGAATAACCTGCCAGAGAATGTTGTGACAGCACCAAGAGTGAGCTCATTTAAGACCAAACTTGACAAACACTGGCACATTTTCAGGTGCATTCAAGACCCCATACATGTCCAGTAAGCTACTTACCAATAGTGTTTAACAGAAAATAGACTGACTGTGTGACTAGTGAGTAAACGGAAGAGTGGCAAAGGGGATAAGTTAGTAAGAGTGTACCTAATTAATCTAATTGAAAAATAAATTAAAATATCTGAGGGGAAATTCTCACACTTGGTGCCATCACAACACACTCTGATAGATTGTTCCTAGAGTTTACAACCCTCACTCCGAAAAAGTTTGCCCCCTGCTTTCAGAATTCATTATAAGATTTTCCTTGGGGAGTTTGATAACCTAGAATATGTATTTATAGGGGGTAAATAAAGTAATTCAGTTTATCCTTATAGAAATGATAATACAATAGTTGTGAATTAATAGAAGTTTATAAACATCTCGTAGGAGGCTTTCAAGACCAGACTTTTTCTTTTATCCTCTTCACCACTGACCGGCTCGTTAGCCGCTTGGGTGAACAGTCACGTCTCTGTAACAGAGATGTTCCTGACTGCCCAAGTGGCTAATAAACTGAACAGTAGTGAAGAGGATAAAGTAAAGATAACTGATCCCTTATGGATGAAGAGGATTCAAAATACAGTATGTACATATGAGATACTAAAAGGGTTTTGAACCTTGACCTAAATCCACACTCATCATCCTTCCAAATGAGATGTTGTTGCCCATGAATGCAATTTCATTATAAAAACATACAGTATTCTTTTCTGGAATTGTTTCATAATGGATTTTTTGGTTATTCATCTAGCCTCAAGTATCACTGAGAGGCAACTATTTTGTATATACTTTCATTTAGAAAAATTGGGCTTTTTTTTTTTTATGTTCAGGGTGCAGTAAATAGAATATTTTTTCTACATCATAAATTAATACTCTTAACCTGTCACAGGCATAGGCTTCACCTCAGCTGGGATTGCTGCAAGCTCAATTGCTTCAGCCATGATGTCTTCTGCTGCTATAGCTAATGGGGGTGGTGTTGCTGCCGGCGGTTTGGTGAGTACAGTATGTGGTGACTGTGGTATGCAGTAATATTGTATGTGCATACAGGCACGTTTGTATATGTTGATGGTTTTTCATTAGTGTATTATTTTTAATTTGCTATTATTAGCAGAAGCAGTGAATGCAAGTCACTGTACATTATCCATCAACATGAAAATAAAAAAAATTAACTGAAGAATGGGGATTTGGATTTGAGAAACTAGGAGTAATTATATAACACATGTGCTTTAGAGTAATAATTATTGAACAGTAACTATTGCAGTATCCTCAAGTCTGAGGTCATCATTTGAACTTGTGTCAATGAGGTAAGCTTTGCACAAACCTTGAATCTCATAATAACTAGATAGTATGCAGGTACTTAACACTCTTGGGGTTTTCATATGCAACAATTTTGTATGATCTAAGTTATTGTTTTAGGGTTTTCATACGGAAATTTGTGTATAAAGAAATAAAAATTATAATTAAATAATTTTGTTTGTGTATGAATGCTACACATGCAAGACACACATTAGATAGCTTCAGTGCGATCTAGCAACTATGTAGACTGCACTGCCCCCTCCGGATGTGAGGAGGCTGGGACAAAAGCAGGAAGACAAGCCTCACCCGCTCAGGATCACACTAGTGAGTGAGGAGAAGAAATGGGAAGTTATTCGACAGGCAAAAAACTTAGCAATGAGCGAGGCATTTCAGAATGTATTCATTCACCCAGATTGCACGGTAATACAGAGGGAACAGCACAAGAGGCTCCTGCAGGGGGGGAGGGTTTGTGGAAGCAAGAGCACCAGCACAGAGCCAGGGGGCAGCAGTACACCCTCCACCCGCTCTACCTCCCACCCAGAAGGAGGCGAGCACTGTGTAAACAATGGCATTGCTAACCACACCCGGCAAAATAAAGTGTGTTTAGCAAATGCTGCGGCTGCTGAGAGTGGGGGAGGGGGTTACTACCAAGAGCAAAGATGTTACCGAGAACAAATTCCGGCTAGTACTGACACGTTCCTTGATAACAGAGAGGAGTTTGAAACACTATTGAAGGTACACCAACCCAATATAGTGGGTTTTGTAGAACTGTTGTACAAGAACAGGAGAATCGATCCAGAGGAATGTGAATTCAGTATTGACGGATATGACTCATTTACGAACCTTTCAAGAGGGGTGTGGTTATCTATGCTAGACATGATCTTAGAGCCAGCAAGGTGAGGGTACAGGGAGAGGATGCTTTTGAAGACCCCAAGTGGTGTAAAATTAAATTAAAGGGAGGAGACTTACTTATTGTCGGGTGTATCTACAGATCCCCAAACTGTAGCTTACCAAACCAAAGGAAGCTAAGTGCCTTAATAGACAATGCAGCAATGCTCAACCCTAGCCATCTCCTTATCATGGGGGACATTAACTATGGCGACATTGACTGGAGAAACGAGTTCACGCCAAATGATTTAAATAACCCTGCTACTCTTTTTGTAGAAACTCTTGAGAGATAATTTTCTGTGCCAACATGTTAAAGACCCGACGCATTACAGAGGGGAGCAAACACCCAAGCCACTAGACCTCATCAAAACAAAAAAGGAGGGTATGGTGGCCAAGCTGGAGCATCTAGTCCCAGTTTATCACCAGCCACCATGTAATGTTGTCATTCAGATTTAACTGTTACATAGTTCATGACAAAACCAGGCCAAGGTGCAAATATTACAAGGGAAATTATGACGGGATGAGGGAGGAAATGAGGGGTATCCACTTGCCTGACTCACTTAGGGATAAGAACGCAAACACTACGCTGAATATCATAGCTAGTAAAGTGAACCATTTGATTGAGAAATATATACCCAAGACCAAACCCAGTGCCTCTAGGAATATACAAGGAGACCCCTACACATGAAGCATGCAGCGGTCGACAAAGTTAAGAAGAAAACCCAGAAATTCAAGGCGTGGGTTAGGTCAAACGATGAGCAGGACAAGAGGATGTATGCAAGAGCCAGGAAACAAGCAGTCAGAGTGTAGAAGGGCTGAAAAGGAGTTTCAGAGGCTGATTGCAAGCAAGGTCAAGTCAAACCCAAAGATATTTTATCGCTTTGCAAAGTCAAAATTAAAACTGCAACTAGATATCAGACCTGATATAAAGGGGGCCATTTCCACTGTCACCATTTATAAAGGGGAGGATTTCTTATTAGTTCTGTCTAGTTATTTCATTTCATATAGTTACTTCATAACCTCTGACCTTTGGTAGCATGGTGAGGGTTTGGGCACATGGGTTCTGTAATTCTGGTATCAAGCTATGGACAAGAATAAAGGTAGATACTGAGGAAAAATGATACCCCTAACATACTCTAAAAATGGTTTATTAATATGAAATTAAAAGAGGGTTGTTGTTGCGCATCAGGCCTGGCCAATCAGTGTTCCTTGCATCCTAGTTGTAATCATTGTCATACAACTGTGTATGAACCTTGGTCTGTTCTTGCATACCAAGAAACAAATTGGAGGATAATGTCACATGATTAGTGCCAACATTAAGCTAAATATGTTTTCGTTCACCAACATTCCCTCCTCATTTTTTTAGATCAGAAACAATGATTTGATTATCTGTCCATCACTATAGTGGCCTGAGTCTTTAATGTATTGAAATAGAAAGTTGTGGCTACAAAAAAAAAGGTTGCACCGTTAAATAGGTCATAAGACATATTTTCATTTCTCAGTCCATTGTCACCATACAGTACAGTAATTTAATATATCCATCACCAGTATGTGGCGAGAGTTTACTGTTATTACATCTCTTATATCCCCAAGATTCAGTAAACTATAATTTGGTGATTTGTAAATGCATCTTCAGTTACACAACAGTACAGGTACTTCATTTCTGAATCACTTTACACCACTTTCTCTCTCAAAAACATTCTCCTCTATCACTCTAATAGATAACCACACTCCTTTTATTTACTTATCTCTTTGCCCCTGGCCTGGTCACCTCATTAGACAGTTGGGTAGTCGGTCAATTCTCTGTTATGCACTATTGGCAGGTTTTGGGTATGTACAGGCTCTTGAATGTACCTTAACATGTGCCAGTGTTGTTCAAGTCTGATCTTATATTAGCTCATGCTTGGTGCCATCCCAAATTCACTGGCAAGTTTAAGGGTTGTGATGGCACCAAGTGTTGCTCAGGCAGGCTTGAAAATTAATCATAGCCAGAGATATTAAACATACATTTATCTGAATTAATCCATTTTATTTTATATGTTTGCTTTCCCTTATGACAGGTGGCTGTGCTACAATCAGCTGGTGCTGCAGGTATTGGTTTAGGTGCCAATGCTTGTATAGCTGGTGCTGGTGCTGCCGTGGGGGCTGGTGTTGGTGCTGTCGCTGCAAAGGTTGTCAAGGACGTATCAGATGAGAAGAGCGATGGGAAAGATAATGATGGCGAGTAGGAAGGGAGGAATGTAATTGAAAAGGTAATACAGGTTGTACAAAACCAGTGACTGATTGGTTCTACATATAAAACTGAAGAAAATAAGACCCTGATTGTAGCTGTAGTAAAATTAATGTAAACAAATTAATATGGTTCTTTGAAGTACCTGTAATGTTATTTAATGTTAATAAATGGAACAATATAAGTAGCTACCGTAACCATTAATGGTAAAAAAAAAGTGAGACTGCGCGTATGTAAGTGAGCACATGTGAAAACATATCGTCATTACTCTACATAAGAATATGAAAGCAACACTTATTTACTGCTCATATATATATTGAAGGGTTAAATGTTCTACTCTGTATAGACAAGCAGAGAGAGAGAGAGAGAGCAGCCGAACTGCCGGATGTAAACAAACCTTAATTTTCCGTAGCTTTGTTGTTGTTTTTTTTTACGGGAATTAGCCCACCCGGGCATAGGTCACTGACCCACATTGGGGCCTGAGGGGCCAAAATTTAATACTCTTGTAATAATAATAATAATAATTCAGATAAGTAAAAAAAAAAAAAAAAGCTGCCTATCTACCTATTGGACAAACTAAAATCGTTCCGGACCACAGAATGCCGGACTAGAGAGGTACAACCTGTACAGGTATTATTACAGGGTGAATAAATAAAAATGATGAGAATAGTGCCCTGCCAGTTCATATAACTAATCTCTAACACAGTTTACTGTTAGATACTGTGCACAAAGTCCATTGAAAATCCTGGAAGTATGATTCAGCCTCACTTGCTTCACTCTATTCACCACAATTAACATGTCCAGTGACTGTAGAACTTCTTGACTAATGTGGTCTCTTGTATTCATGTCAACCAGGAACCTCATCATCTTGTTCTAAATAATTTTTAGCATTGATTTTAGATTCTGTGTTAAGGCAGAGTACCTTGATGAGCAAAGGTTCCTACAGGTATCAACTGAGAAACATTTACCATTTATGTAGATGAATTTTACCTTGGCAATACTTTTATTTACTTTACTATCTATAATTGCTTCTCCAGATACACAAGAGTTAAGAGTTAGCCTAAGATATTCACTAAGGTTACATTTACAGTAAGATAGGTTCATTTACACATTACATTGAATTTGTTTACTCTTTAGAGTTTTCTATTTGATTCATATAATATTGTTTCAATATTTCCAAGATGTAGGGATAATTTGTTGTCTATCAGCTATTGTTTGCATGACTAGTTTAGATGATAACTTGCTAGCTATATCACTAAGAGGGCATTGTTATCAGCATACAGCAAAAGTTTGCAATTAACACTAATGGGCATGTCATTTACATATGTATCATTGGAAGAGCAATGGTCCTAGGATACTCCTTTGTGAAACCCCACTGGCTATCAACATGGATGTTGACTAATACTTGCAATTTTTTGTTTTCTGTTGTTAAAATAAGATTTAAAATAGTCAACAGATCCAGTGCCAAGAGCCAGCAGTTCTTATAGTAATATACCTGTACATGTATAATATCCATGAGCTATTTGGGTCCTGCTATGGTCACTGAGATGGATCAAGCTGGTGTCATTTGAGTGAGAATCCCTAAAGCCTGACTGGTAACTGTACAAAATATTGTAATCATAGATATAACTTTCCACCTTAACATATCTCTCTTCAGAATTTTAGACATTGGAGTTTAGAAAATAGGCAGAGAGTTTAGACACATAAAAAAGAGTTTAAGCAGTAAACACAGATTTCAGATCATAAGACATTAATGTTTCAGCATTCAAATACAAGATGAGTACACTATCAGACAATAACCACTGCAGAGCTGGACTTTTGTACAAGACATTGTAAGTGTGTGATTTATATTTTAATATTTTCATGTCGAATTTTGTTAGTAAAAATATATTGAAATGGTTGAAAGCCAATTAAGTTTCAGACCTAATAGGCTCTAACCTAATCTACCCATCTAAAGTACTGTATATCAAATAAGGACTGAGACTCATGAGAACTAAACCCCAATACCAGTGGTTGTGTTGAGTCTATTGGGACTTTTCCTGAATCCTAATGGTTATAAAGGTACCCAACTGAACTGAGCCCCATCTGACTAGTGAGCCCGAAGATTGAATGAATGATAATTATTACCATAATTTTTTGTCTACCAAAATTACTTTGTGGGATAAAATTATTATATACAGTTACAGTTAAAATGTTCAACTCTCACTGGCACAAAAACATGATTCAAGTTGCATAGAAATTATATTGAAGAGAAAGCATTGTTCTGTATAGAATCTTGTAACACATTCTCAAATTAGAGTTTAAACTGTATTTATGTTTTTCTAAAAAAAAAAATAAAAGAAAGACCAAAGACATGGTCAAAATTATTTTCACTCCCCATCCTTTCTTAAGTGAGAAAGTAGCAAATCATGGAGTGTGGAAAATGATTAGTACACTGATTAATGTTTGTCAAATATGATCAAAGCCTATTACTTCCAGTTATAGTTCTAATGGTTACCGAGCTTATGCAATATATACCAACTAATAAGAGGAGACCCTTAGTACTGGTCACAACTTGAAGTTAAATCAAGTTGTGACTGTACAATTGAAGTGATTTGGTTTGTGCCCATTTAATTTGAAACCCCATCAGTTTAACAATAATTTTTATAAACTGAATTGTGATTGATCTATTTTGCCCAGGTTTGTTATACAGTATTTATATAAAATAATTTGTGAACTAAAGTTTCATTATCTTTATGAGAGCATCAGTGTCATGAGAGGTCTAAAATATAAACACAAATAAGGATTAAGCAAACTGCACATATCAATTAACCAGAAATTCGTAACCTTATTTTTTTTTGCCATGTGTATAAGCTACAGATAAGCTGACATACGAGTAGTGTACTGTATGTCCTTAAAGGCCTTAGTTGCTGAAAAACAGAATTACAGTACATAGAAATGACAATAATAGTGCAAGTACTGTGATTCTAATCAGATGAAATTTTTAAATAAGAGTTGGTGCTTTAACCAAGACATGAACTGCCAGTAGTCATCACCTTATAATTGGCTGGGAGATAATGAAGGAACCATGAGTCTGACTACAGTATTTCTGGAGTTTTGCTAAACCTGCTTAATGCTGTTTATGGTCCTGGGCAGACTAAAAGTTGGAACATTTTTGTATCATCAGTGAAGAGATACTCATCAGAAGACTCAATCAGGTATAGTAAGTCACTGGTATATAAGCCCAATAGGAATGGGGAAAACACTCTCTTGAGGGATGCCACTGTGCAATAACACCCAATTAGAGCAGGAAATCATTGTGTTAAATCTGTCTTCTGTCGAGCGGAAAAATGAGAACCATTGGTGGGGTAATCCAGTAATACCATAACTATAGCTTACCAACTGGGTGCTGTTGGTGAAATCTATTTAGGTCATAATGTATCTAATGACCTTCCAGCATCCAATACAGCATTTCAATCTTGGAGTCCAGTACTGTACTAATGTAAATATGATACTTATGATGACAAAGTTGGTTACTAGAGAACAGAGTGGTTAAGGTAGGCATGGGCAACCTATGGCCCGAATCATGTCTTTGTGCGGCCCACAGAGTGATTGAGAAATTCCATTTAATGTGGCCCGCAGTTCAGGTAGATGCGGCCAGTTTATGGTGAGTAAAGCACTATTTATTTTAAGAATAATCTTCACACACAATTCGTTACTTTTTCATCAGCTAAGAGCAAATAACTGTGAAAACATAACAGTAAAAAAAAAATATAAACATTTTAACTTGTGATAGTTTACGGACCAAGTTCGTTCACAGTCTGTTAGATGGATTAGCTGCTATGTGGCAGTGGGTCACTTGGGAATTAACTAACATTGGGTAAGTCCAAGTGGGGTCACGGGCGGTGGTCACACGGGTCAAAGGTAAATGTCTCTTCCTTGACAGACTGTCTCCCTCCATAATACGTCATCATTCATGCCTGGCCTGCTTGTCTGTACTATTTATTCTTGTTTGATTTTGTTTCTCCATATATATATATATATATATATATATATATATATATATATATATATATATATATATATATATATATATATATATATATATATATATATATATATATATATATATATATATATATATATTAGTACCCCAATTTACGCTGATTTATGCGGTCAATTGAACCCATGGGATACTGAGGAAAGTGAAAACCGTGTAAAGTGAACAACAGAACATATGGGATTAATTCCAATAGAGACTGGCCCGACCCCCAAACTCCACTTTTTCCGACACAATACCTATTTTGTAGCAAAAATAACATCTTAATTTTATGATGGTATGCTCACACAATTAATATTTAAGAGAAATACAGTCGCCAGGTTAATGTCCATTCAAATAATGGACTCAAATCTCCCCCCCCCCTTCTTCTCAGCTCACTAGCTCCTACCTCTCTGAGAAATGTTTGGGTGAAAACACTAGATTTTAACGTTTAGTAATAAATAAAACCTCAGACTAAAGTTGGGATAATATAATTGACATTTCTGGATTCCTTGCAGGTCAGGGAATATTTTGAATGTAAACTTCATATATTTTGCACAAAAGATAAAATATTTGCTTTGTGTTGTAGGGGTATCGAGATATTAATGTTGTCTAGCACTCAGGATGGAAGGAAACTCTAATGTGGTTTTCTGTAATATATAAGTTATATGATAGACAGTCTGGTGCTGGAGATGCCGTGTGGTGGGGAGCTGCTCAGTAGAAGACGTTCGGTGAGTAGCGTGTTGAAGGAGGTAGATGTGCAGGAGCTTCGTTAGAGAAGATGTTGCCTGTTGCTGGCCTCCTGGTTGAAATAAATGTTAACAGCGTGGAGCTTGCTGGAGGAGGTGTTGCTTGTTCAGGAAGATGGGCAGAATGAGAGTTGGTTGGTGAGGAAGCTCAGAGGACAGCTGGTGGGTCGCCATGCTCGCTGGCAGGAGCGAGGACCGCCAGGCAGGCGAGAAGCGAAGGCAGCCAGGAGGAGGTGTTGCTTGTTCAAGAAGAATGGTCAGAATGAATCTCAATGGAGAGACAGAGCTTATATACCCAGCAGCAGCCGCTATGAGTCATGTTGGGAAAACCCAGAAAGTCGCCGGTGACTGGTTCCGTTG